TCCAAGGCAAGAAAAGTAGTAATTTTGATTTTTCGAGGATTTTCTAAAAATCTCGGTATTTAAACTAAATTATAATCTCCACCCCTTGGAAGCAATTTTTTGTTTGCTAATTATTTATTTTAATGTTAGAAGTCATTAAAAAATTTTGCAAGAAGATCGAAGGCGGGCAAAGCAGTGATTTTAATTTATTTTATATTTTAGGATTTCTGAAAAATCCGTGACAAAAAATAAAAATCACTGCTTTCCCCGCCTTCGATCTTCTTGCAATTTTTTTAAATGGCTTCTAAGGCGTGGAAATGATAATATAGTTGAAATACCGAGATTTTTTAAAAAATCATAACTATTGTAAACATGCAAGAATATAAATTGAAATTATTAAATTTTTTCTGTGGAAAGCAGGTAGGCAGATTGCTACCGTGATAATTCTTTAAATAATTCCCGTGTGGAAAAATATTGTGGCAGTCTAGAGTCCAATGATTTCCCGATTAGCAATCATCAAGTCCGTCTAATTCTAGAGGGTCCATCAAGTCCCGAATCAGTGACTTAACAGATTGGCTTATTAGAAAAAATCTAAGTCAAATATGTCCGTCTAGTACGGTGTTATTAAGACCGTCTAGATTTGGTCTAGGATGTTATATGCGCATGCGTCGATGAATGCCCAGCTGTTAAGTAACATGGCGCCTAATGGCGTCGCGTCGTTTGGCGTCGTTAGATCAGTCAGTGTGTGATGCATTTTGTTTGTGAATTATAGTATTTGTTGTGGTTTCTGTTTTACGTGAATAATAATGTACTATGTTGTTGTTGTTTTCTGTATAATTTAATTTTAAATGTGCCCTGAAAAAAAATGATTTTGATGTGTTTCTATGTGTTTTGATTAGTCGGCTGAAGCTAGCAGTCGTACTCAGCATCAATGTTTAGGCGTCATCTACCAATATGCCTCTCCTTCAAATTTTGTAATACTTAATGATTTAAAAAACCATCGAGTATTGTTATTTGGGAATCAATATCCACTAAATAGTAAATTTAGTAAGTTTTTATTTATTAATTTCATTAATTAGTGGTTGACGCCTAAAGATTGGTGCTGAGTACGACTGCTAGTTTCATCCGGCTGTTTTGATTTGCAGTAAATTTTATTTTACAAAAAGACTACTATATCTCCAATGCCAAAGATTGGGAGAGACACAAAGCCTTACGCTTAAAGAAAGTTGAAGTGAAAAATACAGAAAGTTAAAATATTTTTTAATAATTTTATATAAAAAAAAGTCATTAAAATTATTTCAAATATAATTAAGTTTTATCATTCTAAGAATAGTTGTCATAACATATAATGAGAAATTTTAAATAGACGTAGATTAGAATTTACTAGCACTGCTGATCAGACCAGAAACGCTGGTCTATTCTAGACGATAGCGTGGAAGTTTCGTTTCAATTCTGAACAGCCGCTCGACAAGACCGTCTGCCCTGGGTCTAGAAAGACGTTAGACAGTCTATTAAGCGCTTGGTCAGCGCCCTAAAATTTTTCCACACGGGTCACGCGCGCATCGCGCGCGTAGGACTTTTGCTAGTAAAATATAATAAAATATAAAAAAAAAATAAAATAAAAATAAAAAAAAAATAAAAATAAATAATAAATAATAATAATAAATAATAATGTAAAAAAAATTTGATTAAAATTTTTCAAAAAGAAAATAGAATTGTGTACTGAAATGTTATAATTAAAAGTATTAAAATTGCAAATTCTCAAAAAGACTTGAATTTGAAACCTTTTCAAAATTCAATTATTATTTCTAAAAATTCAATATAATAAGTCAATTATTTCGCCAAAATTCAATTATATTCGAAAATTTTTAAAAAGTTCTCAAAATTTCAATTATTTTGAATGTCAACTATTTTAAAAATATTTCCCCAAAAAATTCAATTATTTAAAAAAAAATGTTTGATAAAATTCGACGCAAAATTTATCTAATTATTTTCATAAATAATAAAAATTTCACAGGGAATTCAATTATTTAATAAAGAATTGGAATTAAATAAAAAAAAACAATTATTTAAAATTTTTTTTTAAAGTTCTTCACAATAATTCAATTATTTTCATAAATATTAAATTTTTTACAGAGTAATACAATATTTTTGTAAATAATAAAATAAATAAAATAAATAAAATAAATAAAATAAATAAAATAAATAAAATAAATAAAATAAATAAAATAAATAAAATAAATAAAATAAATAAAATAAATAAAATAAATAAAATAAATAAAATAAATAAAATAAATAAAATAAAATAATTGAATATTATATAAGTATTAAAAATTGAATTTTGCTAAGAATTTTATTAAAATTTCCGAATATAATTGGATTTCGTCAAAAATTTTATTCTTAATAAAAGTAATTGAAATCTTGGCGAGAAATTTAAAAAAAATTTTGAAAATAATTGAATTTCTGTGGAGAATTTTATTATTTTAGAAAAGAATTGAATTCTTGTGTTATTTATGAAAATAATTGAATTGTGCAAAGAATTTTATCAAAATTCCTGAAAATAATTAGATTTCTGGAAAGAACCTTTGATCAAATCAAAAAATCCACTAATTTAAAAAGAATTTTAATTAATATATTTTTTAAAAAACAAAGTTCAACAAAATTTCTAATTAAATTAATCTGAATTTCAAATTATCTAAAATTGAAATTTAAAACTTTTTGAAATTCAATTATTTATAAAAATTGTAAATTCAACTCTTATAAAATTCAATTATTTTTGAAATTATGTAAATTAATTTATGTAAAATTATTCATTCAATAATTTATAAGTAATAATTTTACAATAGTTGTTCAAGAATTGAATTGTTTTAAATAAAGTCAATTTAATATTCTGTAATAAGTTCAAATATTGTCAGAAATAAAAAATTTAAGTTTTTTTGTGAACGCAAAGTTTATAATACAAACAAAATGAAATTTAAGAAGAATTAATTCTTTTTAATATTTTTAAAGCTTTCTATAGACATTAAAATTGAGAATTATCTTATGAATTTCAAAAATTTAATTTTTTTCCCTACTTTTAATAAAATTTCCTGATCAATTCTACTTTCCCTGACTTTTTCCTGAATTCCCCGATTTTCTTGATCTGTGGCAACCCTGATTATGTAAAAATCACTGTTACCGAAAAATTGTTCGATCCACCCATGAAGTTTGATCACTCACTCTAAAAATGTAAAATACATTTTTTATAAAAATCTTTTCAATTGATAAATTATACGAGTTATTTGCGGAAAAATTTGAATCGGTATAACTTGTCCCTTTGAAACTGAAAAACGTGTAAAAACACAAATTTGACTGATGTAGTAATAAATTCCAAGCGATGAAATCTAGAATCCGACTTCCATAGAATGATGTATAATGGAATAATTTGAGGACAGTGAAGACACCCAGTATAAAGGAGTATAGAAATTCTCCCGTCAGATGCACACATATGGGTCCTCTCTCATGACATCCACTACTGTTCATTCTCCATAAACTGATTGTGGGTTTGGACCCCCTTGCGTCAACTCGTTCACCATTCTTCTTTGGATTCAAGATGACCATGTGGTAATGGCTTTATTTTCAACGCAGATAAACTCGCTCCCTCTAAATCTCCTCGAGTATCATATACTACTCACTTGTCGACCTTTTTTTTTCTTGGTTCTCCACTCACCATTCACTCGTCCATTATGGTCCCGCTGTCTTAATGACAATTTCAGGTAGGAAGAATGTTGAAAACGAAAAATCTCTCTTAACGCCGACGTTCCCGCTTTACCCCCGGGTGTCCAGGTTGCACACCCGGCGGACCTCTCATCGGCTCTCTTTGTAATACATTATATTATACCGACGATGTCGCAACAGAATTTCCATCAACCTCTCTTTAGTGTTTTTGTGTGTGTGTGCGATGAAGGAAAATTTTTAAGTTACACCGCACCTGAAGAAGAATTTTTGCCTTCTCCCCCCCTCTCTCTCTCTCTCTCTCTGGCGGGTTGAGAATAATCTTGCATAAACGACCTCCATCCGGTTTCGAATGAGGGACCCCCCATGGAAGAATTGGATCCTGGATTTTTTGATCGGCTCCTTTCATGTCCTTTGAACACAAAAATTGGCGATGTGTGTTGGTCCTGGCAAGAAGCAAACGCTTTTGCCATCTTCAATATGGAATTTCATCTCTTATCCGTTAATGTTGTCCTTCCTGGAAAACTGAAGATGTAAGCTTGTTAAATCTGGAGGGAGAAATTTAAGATGGGATTCTTGAGTGGGAACTACTCATATTTTGTCGGCTGTTTTTTAGTATCTTCTCGTGAAAAAACAGTCATTAATAGATAGAACCCAATAGAACTGTCAATGGACCGCGCACTTTTAAAATAATCTCAACATTAATTGTTTCCCTCTCTATTAAAAAAAAAAATTCTTTTCCTCTTTTTTAACAATTTTATCATCTCTCTAATATATAAAAAAATAATCTAGACTTTAACGATCAAATATAAAAGAACACAAATCGTTTGTGAAAAGAAAAAAATAAGATCACTCTAGACCCGCATCGGGAAATACATATTCATGTGTGAAATCACGTATGGCGCATTTTTCACAAAAAAAATTCCAGGATTCGTAATTTTCAAAAAATGTAAAGAATGCAATAGAAAAGTTTTCGGAACAAAGGCATTAGTTTTAAAAGTTTCTTATGGAGATTTTTATAGTATATCCAAGAAGTATATATTTAAAATTTTCTGATAAAAGATATTATTCACAAATACATTTTTTTCAGAAATAAAATAGTGCATTATAATTTTTATTCAAAACCAAAAACAAGCTTTTTTTTCCTGAAATATTCACCCAGAGTATTTTATCTATTCTATTAAAATTTTGTTCTGGAACACTATAGGCCTTATGGGTCTTTATTGGTCCAATTATTGCGTAAGAACAAAAATACAATTATCAAAAAAATGCAAGTCTTGAGCTAAAAATCAAAATTGCAACTCTTAGAACTTTTTAGAAAAGTTTATTTTATTTTCTAATACTCAAATTATGTTTATAATTAAAATTTTACAGCCAATGTTATAATATGTTAATATATGTGAAGTAAAAATTGTTATCACCGTAATATACCAAATAATCCAATTAAATTAGTAAAATTAAGTTTTTGGTAGTAAATGTGCTTATGAATTTTAAGAGACTGTCAAAATCGATAGAGAAAATCGAAGTGACTTTGACATTCCCTTAACATAAAATGTCAGACGTCATCGTTACTGACTTATTTCTAATATTCAAACGAAAACATATTTTTGCTCATAAATTACAAGAAATAAGTTTCATTTGCAAATTTTGATTTGTTCTTTCGTGAATATAATTATGTTGCTAATAGTTCCCTTTTATATGTTTTCTTCTTTTTAGAATTCAATAATTATTTTTCGCAATAAAAGTGAATTTCGAATAACTTACGATTATTTTCCTCATACAACGCACCATATTCTAAAAATATAAGAAAATTATAAAGTCAAAAACCATTGTTCCGCATCGTTTCCATTTGTTCGATAATATAAAAATTTCTTATTATTTCTCCTCGAATATTGTCGTTAAAATATAAGGCTTATTCACTTTTCCCATATTGTTTTTGGGAATTTTTTCAACGACTTTTAAAACTGTGGGTACTGCATAATGAGGCAGCGACTTTTTACCAAATATTCTCAACTGGGATAATATCACTTCTGTATTTTCTCTCAATACAACGACAGCAGCGACCTATTTACAGAATAAAAATGTAAAATTAAAAAATAATTGAAGAAAAGTTTACGTAAACAATATTTTGAAATTCTTTATTTTTAAATCAAAATATAAAATGTAATGTTTAACTGACCTTTTGGCCCCAGGTTGAATCTGAAATTCCAACAACTGCACAATCGATAATATCGGGATGTCCCAGAATGGCTGTTTCTACTTCTAAAGCGCTGACTTTGTAGCCTCCTGATTTTATAATGTCAATTGAAGTTCGACCGAGAATTTTGTATATTCCATTTTCATATTGAACAGTATCTCCTAATAATTACAAGAAAAAAAAATTTTAAACATTTAAATTACAAAGATTCGTACTCATCTACTAAAACCTATACTATTTACTACTTTTTTACGATTTGATACTATTTGGATACTTTTTTCTAGACTTGTGACACTAAAAACTATACTTTTTTCTTTTCTTTTGAAAAAATAAAATTCTTAAATTAATTAAAAACAATAAAAAAAATTTTAATAAAATTCGTTGAAACAATTCAATTATTTTAAACAATTTGAAAAAAAAAATTCCGCAAGAATTCAATTATTTTCACAATTACTTAAATTTTTTGTTGAAATTCAATTATTTTCAATATCTACAATTATTTAAATCAAATTTTACAAAAATTAAATTATTTAAAAAAGGAAGTTATAATAGAATTCTTCTCAAAAATTATATTATTTTCATATATAATATTTTCACAGAAAATTTTAATTTTTTCAAAAAATTTTTTTTGAAAGAAATTAATTATCCCAACAAAAACATCTTTGATGCAAAAAGTTCCGCCAAGTAAAAGATTTTGTGACTGTCCAAACAATTAGTGAAATAAAAGTTTACCAAGTAAAATTTATAATTAAAATTTTAATAATGATTGATTTTAAATATTTTCTCTACTACACAACTCGAAGTACATATTGCAGTTGAAAAAAAACAACCCGGGCTTAGCTATGTTGTTATTGTACATTGCGGCTTAATTACATTTCCGAATTAAGTCAATGTTCTTCATTGCATTTTGAATTGTAACAAATAGAATTTAACTTTATAATTAACATTAACGAAAAACGAAATCTAATTACTCGTCATAATAAAAAATTTCTATTTAAGCAATTTAAAAATCTTGGCGTCAATAATGCTTCTAACTTGTAATTAATGAAAGTATTGACGCCAAGATTTTTAAATTGCTGAAATAGAAATTTTTTATTATGACAAGTAATTAGATTTCGTTTTTTGTTAATGTTAATTATAAACTTAAATTCTATTTGTTACAATTCAAAATGCAATGAAGAACATTGACTTAATTCGGAAATGTAATTAAGCCGCAATGTACAATAACAACAGCTAAGCCCGGGTTGTTTTTTTCAACTGCAATATGTACTTCGAGTTGTGTAGTAGAGAAAATATTTAAAATCAATCATTATTAAAATTTTAATTATAAATTTTACTTGGTAAACTTTTATTTCACTAATTGTTTGGACAGTCACAAAATCTTTTACTTGGCGGAACTTTTTGCATCAAAGATGTTTTTGTTGGGATTTTAAAACTTTTTGCGTCATCTCAACTTTTTAATAAATGAAATAATTAATTGTAAAAATATTGTGGTCTTTGAACTAATAATTTAAAATGAAATCAGGCTTCGAAGTCTAGTAGCAGGTCAAAAAAAGTGTGAAAAAGTAGCATTTTGGAAAAAAGTGTCCTCTAAATTGAAAAAAAGTAGCAAAAAGTAGCATATTAAAAATGAAGTAAAATTATTTTTTTAAGTAAGAAAATTAAGTGAATATATGTTGTTGTCCAAAAAATTGAAAGAAAAAAATACTAAAAATAGGAATTCACAAAATTTTTTTTAAATTTTGATTTATAAACATAAAACATGAAAATATAATAGCTTTTTTGTCGATATTTTACATTAGAAAGTTTTATTTACATAATGAAATGTAATTGTTAATAATACTTAAATGAGATTTTTTATAAGAATTTGTTTTTTAATAACAGGCTCATAATTTTGAGAAGTTAAATTGACACCTTCTTTCTCCTTATTATTTTTTAAAAAACTATCAATAACTTTTTATCAGCCATCTAATTTTTAAAAATAAAACGTAAACATTTTTTAGTAATTTACTAATAACAACTATCAAAATAAAAAAAATGGATTGTTTTTAGTCATATAAATTTTTTAAATTTTAGAATCCACATAGCCATAATTTTGTACAATAATAAATTATGAGCAATTTAATTCCAATAAAAAAAATTATAATTTTTCTTCTAGATAGATCTTAAATCTTTATAAATGATTTTTTTATTATTGAACAACCGACTTAAAACACTGTATTATTGAAAATACAATTAATATTTTTAAATTTGACATAAAGTTTGTAAACATAATATAATAAATAATCACGTTAAATAAATATTATTTTGGATTTTTAATCAAACAATTTATATAACCAAAAGAATTAAGTTTTCATTCTTAATTGATTTTTTCTATACTTGATGAAACTTTTATAAAGTCAAAAAAGGTATTACTATTAAATTATATAGTGAAAAATGAAAAATTTAGTTTTTAATTTTTTTAAGAAGCTTAAAGAATATTATATTACTATTAGTAATTATTATAATATATTATAATCACGCGTCCAATAATAAATTTAATTCACTTCGCGGGTTTTTTGAAATCTACAAAATTCACCAAAAAAAACTAAAATTCTTGAATTCTGTAAATTTTTTTTACATTTTTTGGAAAAAAGTAGCATTTAGTAGCTTTTTGACAAAATAAGTAGCAAAAAGTAGGCTTGACCAAAAAAAGTGTCAAAAAAGTTGAAAAGTGTGTCACTTCGAAGCCTGTAAAATACAATTAAGTTTTAAATAAGAATTTATTTAAGATATGATTCTTTACAGAAATTTTTACATAATTTTTAAAATTTTTATTCTATACACTCTAAAAATAACATAAAAACAAAAAAGTTTTTAAAATAAATTTCAAGCTTTCAATCCATAATAATATTTCAAAATATTTTACAAATCTGTTTAGTAGTTTAATCTCTGCGTTCGTCTAAATGTCAAAAAATTCAATTTTTTAAAAAAATAAAAATTTTTAAAAAAAATAAAAAATTTTCAAAAAAATAAAAATTTTTCAAAAAATACGAACTATCTTAAAATTTCCTTTAATATATATCGAGATTTTAACCCAATCAATAATATTCTAGAATATTTCACATAACCGTTTAGAAGTTTAGTCTCTGCGTTCGTCTAAATGTCAAAAAATTGAATTTTTTTGAGAAAAATCAAAATTTTTCAAAAAATACGAAGTGAATTAAAATTTCCTGAAATGTATATCGAGATTTTAACCTAATTAATAATATTCTAGAATATTTCAGAAATCCATTTAGGAGTTTACGCTCCTCGTTTGTCTAAATCTCAAAAAATCTCTATTTTTCCGGTTTTCCTAGCCTAAATTCTATAAAACTATATAAAATATTGAGTAAACTTAACAGAATTCTTTCTTTTTTGATTCTTTATCCAACGAAAAAAGAATGAGCCAAATCGGTTAAAATTAACTCGAGTTATTCAATTTTATCGAAAAACAGCCGATATTTCGAGAATATATATTCGCGGTTTTTGCTTTTTACTTGGCGGCGATTCTCTACCGCGAATCTTGATTTAAAAAAACTTTTTATTGATTTCTCAAAAAAAAATCAATTGTTTATAATAATTTTGATACAATTTTTGTATATAAGAATTCATATTTTTTATACAATTGTAATTATTTTTTTTTAACGAAATTTAATTATTTTTAATTTTTTTTAATAAAAAAATCAAATATTACAAAAATTTTAATAAATTTTTTTACAAGAATTCAATTATTTTCAAAAAATAGTAAACTTTTCCCCAGGAATTAAATCGTTTAAAAAGATTTTAATAAAATTCGTTACAATAATTCAATTATTGTCAAAAATAATAAAATATTTCCCTCGAACTGAATTGTTTAAAAAAATTTTAATAAAAGTCGTTACAAGAATTTATTTATTTTCATAAATAATAAAATTCTTCCCTAGAATTGAATTGTTTTTAATACAATTTTAAATATATGAATTCCTCGAAAAATGCTTAAAAATTTTATTCAAATTCTTTGAAAGAATTCAATTATTTTTTACAATTTCTTTACAATTCTTTATAAGAATTCAATTTTAAGAAATGATCTTTTATTCAATCATAATTTTAGTCCAATTAATTGGAAATTTTGTCAAATTTAATGGAATTCAATTTTATATTTAACCCCTTAACTGTTTGAGGAAAATACAACATGATTGTCCTAAACTGCCCAGCGGAATCTAATACTTTCTCAAATAGTATAATATATTTAAATTATAATTAATTATTCAATTATTTTCTAAAATATCATTAATGACCCTTATAATTTCTTATAATATTGATATGAAGAAAAATATCTATCAATTTATATACAAATTATATTTATTTTAGTGATAGTGAACACGACCCACGGGTGGGTCGGAAACAGTTATGGCCATACTTTTTCACGACCCACCCGTGGGTCGGAAACAGGCAACGGGTTAAAAGAATTTTTTTTTACTTATAAAAATTATTTTTAACTATGTATTATTATTGAAGAAGTTTAACTAAGAATTAGAAAAAAAAAGAAATTTTAGAAAAGGACACTTCTGGATTTTCTTCACCAATTTTTTCTGAATTTTAAAAAAGTTTAGAATTGAATAAGTTACATATTACCAGAATAAGAAAAAAAAGTTAATATTTTTTATGAAAATTAGAAAAGTCAGGGAAATATGGAATCAATTTTTTGTGAATTAGTCTTTTTTAGTCGTTAAATTCAATTTTTCGACTGCTTTCAGTCTTAAGGCTACTTTTTAAAAATTAAATTATTTAAGAAAAAATTAATGCAATTATAAACAATTTTTTTGGAGTTAATAGAAACGTTGAATATAATTCCCTAACAAGCTAAAGTTAATAATCTTTCAAAAATATTTTCAAACAATTACCGGTTTTAAACCATCCATCGGATGTGAATGACTTTGCAGTCACGTCAGGTTTTTTCCAGTATTCTTTGAAGACACTTGGACCTTTAATTTGGAGATCTCCAGAAACAGGATCCGAAGTTTTCATAACGACATTACTCTTTTCTGTTGTCCCATGAACAAGAACTGCCGTATCACAACCACTTTGCGCTTCTGCTTTCGTTATTCGAACTTCTACACCTGTTAAAGGTGTTCCGACGGTTCCTAAAAAGTTATTCGATTTTAACGAAAAATACCTTTCAAAAATATCTAAATACAAAATTATTATGATTAGAAATACATTTAAAAAAATCCATAGGTATAATTTAATTTTATAATAGTATTTTTTCACCTGGAATGCGTTCGCCTTCCAAAGGATTGGACAAAGTCATACCAGTCTCCGTCATGCCATATCTTTCCAATAATCGATGTCCAGTAATTTCTTCCCATCTATCAAAAATAGGTTTCGGTAGAGGAGCCGATCCGCTAACCATTAATCTGCAAAGGAAATTTAATTGGAGTGAAAAATTTAAGTTTTAATTGAAATTAAAAATTTGTTAAATTTTAACAACTTACCTCATTTTTGTACTGCAAACATTATAAATGTACTCCTTAATTTTAGGTTGTTTACTAAAAAGTTGTTCATAATCATGTATTAATTTCATATAAATAGTTGGCACAGCCATGAAAACGTTTGTTCGTTCGGAATTCTGTAAATTGATAGCAATCAATTCACTCCAAACGGATGATGACTCAAATCTTGGTAACATAATGCAGCGTGCGCCAACATATAATGGACACAGGAGCAAATTTATAACTCCATGCACGTGATTTAGAGGCAATGTGTGTAGAACAATATCTTTGCTGTTGTACTTCCAAGCAGACACCAATGAATTAACTTGGGCCTGCAGATTTTTATGGCTTAGAACCACACCTTCATTAATTAATTTTAGTATTACTTTAATTTGAAACCAATTTTATATTTATACCTACAAATCGATGGTTTTACTAAAATATTTTGCTCAACTAAAAGGAAAATAAAAAAAGTACGTACATAACAAAAGAAGCAAATTCTAAAATATGAACATAAAAACTTACATAAAAAATAAAATTATAATATAAGAATTTATGCTTATTAATTAAAAAATTAGACTAATTAAATTACAACTAAATTTAAAAATAAAAATTTACCCTTTGGTTTACTCGTTGTTCCGGAAGTGTAAATAAACATTGCATTACTATTATTATAAAAATTTCCCTTAACTCCTGCGTCAAGAGAATTTTCGAATTCATGATCAGATTTATTGTTCGCTATTTTTCCGTCAACTTTCATTGCTAATACTCGAAGAACATCGTCGAAAACTATTAAACGTCTTTTCGATTTTTCAGCAACTGATTCAATTAATGGTAAATATTCCATAGTGGTGATAATGACTTTAGCATCAGCATCGCTAACATAATAGTCAAGAACTGATGTCGGATGTTGATCGCTCAATGGTACAGCTGAAATAGAAATTTTTCTATAATTATTTTCAAATTTTTATAACTATTCATAACAATAGAAAATAAAAATATTAAATTATGTACCAATTTGACCGCTTATCCAACAGGCCCATTGAACAATAACGTAAGAAGCATCGTTTGGTAATAAAAATGCCACTCGTTCTTGTTTTCCTTCGCCAAGCAATTCATTTAATTCATTAGCAAATTGTTTTGCACTCAAAAAGATACCACGATACGTGTAATCGCCATGCATATCACGAAGTGCTGTTTTATCACCAAAATGTGTCGCTTGCTTAAAAACGGGAACAACATCACTTGATAACTGAAATTAGAATAATAATAATAATTATTTCTCTTATTAATTATAGCTTAAAAATAACTTTAAAAAATTAATAAAAATTAATAAAAATAAAAATATAATTAACAAACATAGAATTTATAACAATTTTTCAACAACTTTTACCTGATTTGTATCAATAGTGGAATTAATTGCAGCTTTGCTGTGTTGAGTTCTTCTTGAAACAACGGGTTTATGAGCTCGAATTGATGAATTAAAAAACAAAAATAACTTCCTTCTCATTAACGAACTCATTTTCTATTCCAATTCTGTCTATTTATTATGAATAAGTAATAATTGTGAGCATTTTTACAATAAATGACAGCAAATGATAAAAAGCTGTTGAGAATAATATTTATTATAACCTTAAAACGTACCGGCAAGATGAGGAAGATAAACGAGTAACAGGTGAAATATTAAAAACGAATGGTAATGCAAATATTTAAATGAAAATTTGCAAATACCGCAAATACTAATGAATAATGCGTATTATAAATAAGGCGCCTTCATGTCTCCAAATTACGTCACAGAAAGTTTTCAAAACGGTCTCGTGAGAAATTACGCCCACCTGTCACGATCAATAAATATTTAAATTCAGAACTTTTTGAGTTTTGACCTGAGGAAATTGCACACTCTTCACAATGTAAACGTGACTAAACTTCACTTTTTTCTTCTTTTTATCCCTTTAAATGCAACTTATATTTACTTGAAAAACAGAATGGATCGGATGAATTAAGATAAAACATATGATACGAATCTGTCATTTCTGCCTGTTTCTGCCACTGTTGTGTGCTAGCTGCTAGGTGTGCTATTTTTGCAAACACCTTACAATTTCAGAAAAATCTTTTGAAAATAATTTACAATTTTTCTTTATTTCGGAATGTTTAATTACAAATTTCTAAAATGTTATTATACAAAACAATTTTTATTTTGTGTTTATAATGTTTAAAAAATAAAAAAAATAATTAAATCATTTTTAAATAATGTTGCTCTACTTCTTTCTGTTATAATGAACTATTTTGATTGGCTACTGAGTATTCTTTAGTAGTTATCAGGAAAACCAATCAGATTCGATTTGGAATGAAAAACAAGATGGCGCTATTACATGGTCTTTAAATTGTCTAACACGTGCGCTGTGTTTTTATTTTGTATTGTTAATGTTTATTTCATAATTTTCTTTAATTAAATTAAATTAAATAGTTTATATATATTTTAATCAATTATTCAAATTTTTAAATTCTAAATAGAAAAATGCCGGTGGATCAGAAAAGAATTAACGGACCAGAAATATCAATTCCTTACAGTGTTTATATTGACAGAAGTGTCAAAGACAAATCGCAAGAAAATTCTTTGAAAAAGAGAGAAGATGGAAGAGAATTTAATGAACTTAGAAAAATGTGTAAGCTATTTATGACTTTTATAATATATAATTCAATGTGAAAAAATGTTTCTTAATTTGAGGTTAGGTTATGTACTTAAAGCGTTAAATTTTTCCGATTTGAATAAGATTTTTAAAAATAATTTTTAGTTGTCAAAGTTGGAATTGTGAGCCAAGCAAAAGGATCTGCTTATATTGAAATGGGTCGAACGAAAGTAATATGTTCAGTATTTGATCCACGAGAAATTCCTAATAAGAGTAATTACACCCACCAAGGAGAATTATTTTGTGAATTTAAATTTGCAACTTTTTCCACGTCGAAAAGAAAGATTCATCAGCAAGATTCTGAAGAAAAAGAATATAGTTGCGTTATGCAGAGGGCATTAGAACCTGCAGTGTGTCGTGTAAGTTTATCATGTTAAATTAAAGTATTAATAATTTTACTAATAATTTATTATATTATTTCACTTTTTTCACAGAGCGAATTTCCTAATTTTCAAGTGGATATTTATGCCCTTGTTCTCGAAAATGGTGGATCAGCTTTAGCTGCTGCTATCATGGCTGCAAGTTTAGCTTTATCTAATGCTAATGTTCCGATGTTTGGTCTTGTAACAGCAGTTACAATGGTATGAACAATTACAATTGTGATTAATAGGCAAGATGGTACAATATAGATTAAAGTCGATTGTTAAATGTTTTTCTCTCTTCATAGGGAATTCGTGACAAAATTGTTTTCCTTGATCCAACATCAGAAGAAGAAACAATGTTTTTATCGATATCGAGAGACGAAATAAAAGAAGAAAAAAATCACGGTCTCATAGTGCAAGCATCGATGACACAACATTCACAAATCACCGAATTCTTCTTTACCGGAAGTTTAGACTTGGAATCAATGAAATCTCAAACAGAAAAACTGAATGAAGCGGAAGAACAAATATTTCCAATAATGCAACAATCTTTGATTAAATCTGTGTCAAAATCATTAAAAAAGAACGAAGAATCAAGTCAAGAAATGGAAACTTAAAATTGGTATAAAATTAGTTTAATTGGTAAGAATTATTTTTAATAATAAATTTACATTGACGTAAAATGTAGTGTGTTATTGAAATGATACCTAGAGTCTCATAGTCCTTAATAAAATACGAGAATTTTCTCTAGTCTTCGGGCTTTTCTGGTGGTGGTCCACAAGGTTGAAGCATCTTCTCCATGAGGTTGAATCGCACGCGTGCTTTAGCTTCATTTTCAGCAATGGCAAAAAAATTAAGAAGATCGTAGTGACCCATATACGAACTACAAGAATCTCGATGTTGATTGACAAGCCAATCGTACTTGGTTGTATCGGCGTGTCCAGTGCCAATATATTTTGACATTAAATGCTCTAGTTGACTGTGAATATTATATCGCTCACCCATTCTGCAACGAAAGAAAATAGTTTATTCAAAAGGTAAGAGTCAAAATAGTCAGACTGTATTTTTAGAAATGTCTTAAAAACTAAGATCCTTTAGAAAATATTAAATATTTTACTATCGTACTTGATTATATAAAAGCCTCTCTTCAATAAATAATAACTTTTTTTAGTTTCTTAAAAATTTGTAAGCACAACAACAACAACAAGATAACCTCAAAGTTGCTCTCAAACGTCACGAATGATCTGAATGAAGCAGCGTATGCCATTCGATATATTTCGATAATACAGACGTTTTCCAGCCAATCGTACGTTTAAATTTTGGACACTCTTATTTTTCAACCAATGAAAACGGCCACTTATTTCTTACCTGTCTGTGATTCCTGTGAATTCTAGTTAAGAATTTGGGGTGCTACTCTCTGTACCAAAAACATAAGTTCGAATGCTCATTATGCCGAATTTACAATTTAGAAATGACCAGATACGCGAATCCTCAATAACCTAAATTGTATATTGAATGAAATTCAAAAGTAGGGAATAATCATTTGATATATTCTGCATATGGAGAATATTATTTTAAACTAATTCTTTTTTTCCACAATTTGAAATTATTGCAATTTTTATTTTTGGAATTTCCACTTTACCTACATTTTAATAGATCGAAATGTAAAATATCAGAATTGACATTTAATTGAAATATGATGGAGAATAAATATATATTCACTGAATAAAAAGATTAAATAATTATTAAATGTTTGAATTTAATAAAAACATATTGTTCAAAAGTTACAGTGCGAATTGTACAGAATATATATTAATAAGAAATATAATTTGGCAGAATGTCGATTCGATCGATTTTATATTTGCAAGAAATTCAATTTGACAGAATATCAATTTATAAGAAACACGTTTTCGTAGAACTTTAACTTGTCAGAATTGTAATTTTGTAGAATATTAATATTGGCAAATCTAATTTTGGTAGAAATCTGCTTTATCAGAATGATCACATGTTCGAATCCTCAAAAGTTAGAATTCCATTTTTACCGAAAATGGATTCCACATAAATATTTGGCGCAAATTTTAAAATTCTGATTTCTGATTGGTCGATTTTAAAATTTGCGCCAAATATTTATGTGGAATCCATTTTCGGTAAAAATGGAATTCTAACTTTTGAGGATTCGAACATGTGATCATTCTGATAAAGCAGATTTCTACCAAAATTAGATTTGCCAATATTAATATTCTACAAAATTACAATTCTGACAAGTTAAAGTTCTACGAAAACGTGTTTCTTATAAATTGATATTCTGTCAAATTGAATTTCTTGCAAATATAAAATCGATCGAATCGACATTCTGCCAAATTATATTTCTTATTAATATATATTCTGTACAATTCGCACTGTAACTTTTGAACAATATGTTTTTATTAAATTCAAACATTTAATAATTATTTAATCTTTTTATTCAGTGAATATATATTTATTCTCCATCATATTTCAATTAAATGTCAATTCTGATATTTTACGTTTCGATCTATTAAAATGTAGGTAAAGTGGAAATTCCAAAAATAAAAATTGCAATAATTTCAAATTGTGGAAAAAAAGAATTAGTTTAAAATAATATTCTCCATATGCAGAATATATCAAATGATTATTCCCTACTTTTGAATTTCATTCAATATACAATTTAGGTTATTGAGGATTCGCGTATCTGGTCATTTCTAAATTGTAAATTCGGCATAATGAGCATTCGAACTTATGTTTTTGGTACAGAGGGTAGCACCCCAAGAATTTATGCAACTGTCATTTGGTTGTGAGCTCCACATTAAAGCGAACTTTGAAGGTTATGTTTTATTTCGTAATGATGACGATTGATAATAATTGATAAGAAACGTTTTTAAAGAAGTTGTTGTTGAAATTGTGATTTATAAAATAATTCGCCTTTAGAAGTTTGGAAATTAATTAAAAATGGGTTCCAATAAACGCCATAAATCTGACAAGTGTCGTGAACAGAAGAAAAAAAGACACAGAAGTCGTTCTCGTTCAATTTCTGTTGAACGAATTGAACGCGTTGAACGTGATAAAGAAAGACACAGGCATCACAAAAAGCACAAGAAAAAAGAACGCAAGGATTATGACAGTGACAGTAAGTAATTAGTTAACTATTTTGCATAATTGAGTAAATTATTTATTATTTTTGTCTCTATTTACATAATTAGTTCATGCAAAATAAAAATTCGAACACAAGTTTTGCATTCAAATTTTCATACTAAGCGTAATATAACTTCATACCTAAGTGTAAAAATTTAAATTTTTTAGTCGAAATTGTCAGTGCACCTCCACCACCGAAAATATCAAAGGCGCATTTGTCAACACCACCGCCGCCCGATATATCAAAGGAAAAGAGTCTTTCTCCAAAAAGTGGTGGTTCACAACTTTCTCTGTCTATTGAGGAAACAAATAAATTGAGAGCTAAACTTGGTTTGGCTCCTTTGGATGTTCAAGAGCAATCAAAGTCCGATCTTAATGTATTCAAAGATGATTTGGGAGAATTCCATCACAAACCCGCTCCCAATAAGAAAGATGAAGCCAGAGCTAAGAAAATTAAAGAGAAACTGAATACTTGGCGTGAAAAAAGGAAAATTGAAACTAAATTATCAAAAGTTAAAGGACTTGGAGAAAGTGATTCAGAAGATGATGCTAGAACTTGGATTGAGAAAAACAGAAAATTACAAATGGAAAAGAAAAAAGCTGACGAGAGGGTAAGATTTTTTAACAAGTTCTTGTTAATACATTTCTTGGCATCAAGACATTGAAATCAAAAACTATTATTTTTAGGCAAAAATGTTGGATCAATTAGATGAGGAGTTTGGCATTGGGAATTTAGTGAAAGAGGAGGTTCAAAACGAAAGACACAAGGCTTACACTACAAAGGACTTGAGAGGTTTGAGAGTCGAACATGACGTTGTAAGTAAAAATATTATTTCGTTTCTAATTATAATTTTGATTCAATTTATAACTATCAGGCTTCGCACTCATCTACAAAAATCTACTGTTTACTACTTTTCTTACGTTATGGTACCATTTGGGTACTTTTTTTAGATTTCAGCCACTAAGAGCTACTGTTTCTGTTTTTTTTTCTTTTCAGAATTTCCACTACATTAAATTCGCTAATACTAGAAATCAAAAAACTATTCGAAAAAATTATAATCAAATTCTTCAAAACGATTCAATTATTTTCAAAAAATATTCAAAATTCAATTACTTTCATAAGTAATAAAATTCTTCTCAGGAATTCAATTATTTTTGAAAATTTTAATAAAATTCTTTGCAACTATTCAATTATTTTCATAAATAATAAAATTCATCGCAGGATTTCAACTATTTTTAATACAATTTTACAGGAATTGTTCAAAAAATGTAATAAATTATTCTTAAAAATTTAATTTCAATTCCTCGAAAAAATCAATTATTTAAAAAAATGGTTTTTTTTAAATTCTTTGGATGAATTCAATTATTTACAAAAATATTAGAATTTTTCTCAGAAATTCAATTAATTTCAAATATTTTAATAAAATTGTTTGAAAGAAATCAATTATTTTAAATACAATTTTAATTGAATTTTCTTGAAATAATTCAATTATTCTTTTAGATTTTAATAAAATTCTTCTCAAGAATTCAATTATTTACATAAATTATTCTTCAAAAGAATTCATTTATGTCGATAAATAACAAAATTATTCCCGAAAATTCAATTATTTTGAGCCATTTTAATAAAATTCTTTGCAAAATTTAATTATTTTCATAAATAACAATATTCATCACAAGATTTCAATTATTTTTAAAAGTAATAAATTTCTTCTTGGAAATTCAATTATTTTAAAAAATTCTAATAAAATCTTTTCGCAATTCAATGATTTTTAATAACAACTGTTTTCAAAAAATTTCCAAACAGAATTAAATTATTTAAAAAATTTTTTGTAATATATCTTCGTAAGAAATCAATTTTTTTCATGAATAGGTAATAAAAATTTCATAGGAATTGAATTATTTAGATTAGAATTTGCATAAAATTAGACGAAAGAAATCAATTATTATTTAAATATTTTTATAAAATTCTTCGCAAGAATTAAATTTTTTCATGAATAATATGAAATTCGTTGTAGGAATTCAATTTATTAGCATATTTTTGATGAAAATTAGGAAAAAGTCAGGAAAATAAAAAATATGGAATGGAATTTTTGTCAGTTTTGTGAAGTGTCTAAAACGAGTTTTTTTGGTCGTCAAGATTAATTTTTCGATAGCTACTTTTTGCTACTTTTTTAAAATTAATTATCGAGTGCGAAGTCTGAACTAGCGACATATTCCTAGCTAATTATTTGGATTCAGTCAAAAGAATTATTTACAAATTTAATTTAAATTTCGTAGGAAACTTTTCAAGAGGGCAAAACAACTATTTTAACTTTAAAAGATCAAGGTGTTCTTGACGAAAACGACGATGTACTTGTGAATGTAAACATGTTGGATGAAGAACGTTACAAACGAAGTAATTTGAATAAAAAGAAAAAGCCCGGATACGATGCTTATGAGGAAAATGAACTGGATGAGTTTGGCATGCCCATCAAGGCAGTTTTAGAAAAGTATGATGAAGAAATTGATGGACAGAAAAAAGAAAGTTTTGCCCTAGGTTCTAATAATTTTAAAGAAATGAAAGAACGACAAGTTGAATTGGTTAAGCAGCGATTAGCAAACAAGAGGTTAGAGTCACTAAAACTTATTGAACCAAAACTTGCCAGTGAATATTATAATGAAGAGGAAATGGCCAAGTTTAAGAAACCGAAGAAGAAGGTTTGATTTAATAATACTTCTATATTTTTATATTTCTTCTATATTTCTGTATTTTTTCTTTTAATTTTTTCTATTTATTTTTAATTTAATGTTAATTTTTTATAGATTCGTAAAATTAGATCTAAAAAGATGCTGAAAGCCACTGATCTTGTACCCGATTCAAATGATTATTTGAAAGATCTGGGAAGTCGTCGAAATCGGAAAATTGAAAGCAAGCCAAAAGAAGAAAATTTGATGGATGTTGACGATTATGAAGGTGAGTTTAAATTTTACGCCCTCAGGGTTTTATTTTTAATTTATGATACATGAAAGTACTAGTCATGTAATTACTTTTTGGCAATTTAGTTACGTTTTCAATGAACAGCGCCACCAGAAAACGTATCCGGAATAAAAATCGAAGAAGAGGACAAGGAGTTTGATATGAAGCTTGCTAGGAAAAAAGCGAAACGTTCAAAAACGTTACAAACAGATAGCATTGAAGAGGTTGTTTCACACATAAAACCAGATCCTGAAAAAGAAAGTAGTCAAATTGGGAATATCGTTTTGAATTCAACAGCTGAATTTTGCAGAACACTTGGCGATATTCCAACTTATGGTCTTTCTGGAAACAGAGAGGAAAATGTTCAGGATTTAATGGTAATTGTTGATTTTAATTTAATTTTACTTAATTCACTTTTACAAAGTTTTTATTTTCTTTTTATTTATAATATTGACTAATATTTTTAGGAGTTTCAAAAAGAAGAAATCGAAGATGACAATATGGGCGAAAATGATGATTCAGGACGTGGAGCTTGGAACAGTGTTGAAACTGGTGAGGATAGGATTTTACTTTATTTTCTTATGTATATTAAAAAAAGGAGCAAGAATTACAAAATATTTTGATTTTAGAAGAATCAGTTATTGAAACTGCAGCATTGGAGGCTCCAATTTTGGACGTAGAACCTTCTCTAGGCCAAGGCGTTGGGGGAGCTTTGACTTTAGCGATCAGTAAAGGTTACTTGCAAAAAGAAGATTCAAACCGTCCATCAGCTTCTCGATTTGCACATCTGCAAGCTCAAAACTATTCTATTGAGGATAAAACTTATGGGTAAATTTTCTACTTTTGTTGGCAAATTTTACATTATTTAAAAATTCAAGAGTTAATTTTTAATTCTGTTTCAGAGATGATGATAAATTTGGAAGGAGAGATCGATTCAATGGTCCGACATCTGATTTTAAGGATAAGGATTGCTTTAAACCAAATGTCAAATTGGAATATATCGATGATGACGGTCATGTTTTAAGTGCTAAAGAAGCCTTTAGATATCTTTCACACAAATTCCACGGAAAGGGTCCCGGAAAGAATAAGGTTCGATATTTTTCAATTAGAGAGAACCAATAAAAATTAAAAAGATTAAAATTATTTAATAATAAATGAATTCATTTTAAATTCAAGGTGGAGAAGAGAATGAAAAAATCAGAACAAGAAGTGCTTATGAAGCGAATGTCTTCAACGGATACGCCGTTGGGAACTTTGAATTTACTTCAAGCTAAACAGAAAGAAACGCAGTCGCCGTATATTCATTTAAGTGGAAGCAAACAGTCACAGACGTAAGTACCTTTAAAGAGATAACTACTCCCTTGAAAAGAAAAACAAATCTAAACTTTTTCATTTCTGTTTTTAGAGCCAGTATATCCAAGTCCAAACACTGATGGAACTTCATTTACTTCTAATTGTAAAATTTCCAAAATTGTACTTTCATTTTTCTATTGAAAATGAAACTAGAATGTAAAAGTAATTACATTTTTTGTTAAATTTCTGAAATTGAGATAAATTACATCTAAGAAAACACTTTCAATTATTTAAGTTGAAAAGTATTAACTTTGTCAGAAAATAAAATTTTATTTGTCAATAATAAATTAGTGCTTTTGTTCTATCTTAAAAGAAAAATGTGTATTAGTATGAAATAAAACAAGTATTTGACAGAAATTCATTTATTCAATGCAATATGACCATCAAAGGCTATTGAAAATAGAAAAACATGGTAAAAAAAATTTATATCCAGGGCAAAGAACGTTAATGTTCGTCTCATGAATATGTATATATTTTAAGGGAATATACCACCACGCATAGAAATTGTTTACATTATTACGTGAATAAGTACATATTAGGAATAGAGTCGATTTATAATCACCTACTATACACAAAAAAGTACTAGTCGGAGAATTAAAAGTTTTGTTCAATGCCCTGAGAGAGTTTAAATTTCGAAAAAGTATTCAAAGAGGTAATGAATGGAAATTTATGATTTGAAAACATATAAATGCTTGCACATGTGCGTTTTTTCAAAAAGATGTCATTGTAATTATAAAGTCATAATTGGTGTTTTGTCGACATTTTCAAATATATCAAAAACTTGTTTCCATTGATTTTTCAATTCCTTGTTTTCCATTCATGACTTCAATTCAATAGGCAGAGGGAATGGAAATTTAAATGCTTTGTTTTCTTTTAAATCAACATGACTCTTCCCCGTTGAGGAATTGTGAAGACAAATTTAAAGTTGACCAGAGTCGGCGATGACGATTTTCTTGGAAGTCTTTCCATTTGGAGTTCCATAGCTCTCCAATTTTTTCACAACGTCCATACCGTCGACGACGGCACCAAAGACAACGTGTTTATTGTCCAACCATGAGGTTTTAACGGTGGTGATGAAGAATTGTGAACCGTTGGTGTTTGCTCCAGCATTCGCCATGGACATGATTCCTGGTCCGGTGTGTTTTAGACTGAAGTTCTCGTCCTCGAATTTCTCGCCATAGATGGATTTTCCCCCGGTGCCATTGTGCTTGGTGAAATCACCACCTTGGCACATGAAATTTGGAATGACACGATGGAACGAACTGTTCTTGTAGCCAAATCCTTTTTCTCCTGTGCAAAGAGCCCGGAAGTTCTCAGCAGTCTTGGGAACGACGTCGCTTCTCAATTCGATGACAATGCGACCGGCTGGTTGTCCATCGACGGTCATGTCAAAAAAACATCTTGGGAGTTCCATTGTAGATTTAGTTTTTTGATTACTGTAAAAGAAAGAAAATTATCTTAGCAAACTAATTCTTTTTTTTATCATGATTTATTAACAAATCCGAAATTATAAAATTTTCACTAGAGATTTCAATTTCAGAAAACATTTTTCATTTAACAAATGATAAATTCTTAATAGTAAATCTATTTCTATATCTGATGAACAAATAAAGATCATGTGAATTCACACTTATAACACTAGTCAAATAAAATTCAATATACGTTAATATTCACTACAATGAAACAAGAGATTTTCCAATATGATAAAAATAAGTGAAAACAATTGCCATTGTACTTTATTTACTGTTAGAAAAAAATTTTAAATTACTCTCATTTTTTATAATTAACGGTTAGCAATTCATGGAATTCGACCTCGATTAGAAAAACGTGCCGATGAAATGGCGGCTATGAAAGTGAATATAGGCGGTAATTTATTAATTCCAAGTTCACATCGAAAACTTATTGGAAAATTTCAACAATTGGGAACTCTTTTAAACCAAGAAACACAAATTTTCAAACAAATATTTTTAAAACAAACTTGTGTAATCAACACCGGTACTTTGTAAAATGGGGGGAAAAGGAACGCCAACAACCATCGTGTAATTCCATCTTTCGATTTTGTTTAGTTATAAATAGAAAAATAGCAATTTTTTTGCACAAAGAAACTATTGTTAATGGAGAAATAAGAGTGAGGTGAAATAAAGTTAATATTTTTTAAACTTACCTTATAAAATAAGTTAAATGTGAGGTGAGAACGCTCAAGGCAGCAAAACGTGACGAGCGGAAAAGACTTCCTTCGTGTCCCCTTCCAGTTCCTTGGGTTCCCTTTTAGAAATGTGTATGTATTTCAATAAAAGTGCATACGTATGCACTAACACAAAACACTTTGTCGGAATTTTCCATTACCATAGAAAATAAGCATCATGATTGGCTGTCTCTTACTTTCCAGATCACGTGATCATAGGAGTCTCAAACGATACTAGCGCTATTTTTAAATTTAAGCAAATATTATTATCAAAAAATAATTACAATGTTTCTTATACTAAGCAGACCTTGAATGTTTGCATAAATTTTACATTTTTATTCTGTACTGGTTAATATCTAGTATTGCTGTATAAAATTTTAAGGTTAGAAAAGTTGATAACGCTTTAACGGATCTTAGTCATCCTTTGTGGTTTCCTCACGGTTTCTTATACACAAAATGTTTACAAAAATAATAGATTAGAAAATATTGTTTCCTTAAAAAGAAACATTTATTGATGTTTTAAAAACAATGATAATTTACCAAAATAATATTACATTTTAATATATAATATCCGAAGATAGTTTTTCGTGTCATAGTAAGATTTTTACAACAGACTGTACCTTAATGTTATGGCCACTTGTCAAAGAAAATTTTTATACTAATTTTTGTAGCATATGCTAACCATCGCAAAAAAATATGCGCAATTATTTTTACAAAAAGGTGAGTAAACTCATATTTGCAATTATTTTCAATTCTTTCTACATAGAAACAATATATTGATAATTGTTTTGATAATTTTGAATTTTAACCTAAAAATATAGCAAAATGAATTTTATGAATTTGTATATGTATTTTAAAATCAGGATAAGATTTAATCTTATTTTCAAAAATTATTCTGTATTTGTAAATATTGATAAAAATTCAACGATAATATAAATTTTTATTTCGAGATAAATAAATTATGTTAAATAGGTTATATATATAACATGGAAAAAGATGTTTTGTTATTTATAATTTTTTACATGTATAATAATGTTTAATAAACACTTTGAAAACAATTTAGTTGTATTAGATAAAAATTGTGTATACAATATATAAATATATTAATTTTTCATTATAGTTTATTTAATGTTTATTTAAACGTTTATTTATTGTTTTAAGCTTTGTTTATTCAGTTTAAGAAAGAAATGAAAAATAAAACGATCTGTGAAAAAAGATGTTTTTCATATCACTTGTCTTCATATAAGGCAGATAACAATTAACAAGACTTAATTTTTCTTAAAAAGTGAACAAATTTAAAAATTATCGAGAATTTAAGAATTTTCTTTTTGGAATATATTATTATGGAAAATAAAAAGATGGTAAAATTAATAATAATGAAGAGTGTATAATAATTCTTGAAGTTAAAGAAAATATAAACTAGAATTTTTTGATAAATTAATACAAATGTTCTTATAAAAAGCGATTAAATGTATTATCATGTCCGAATGATAAAATTATTAAAGTACTTTTGCTTGTCATTGCACTTAGTTTAATATTAACGTATTGAATGTATTTATAATATAAAATTAATAGTTTTATATAATTATATTTTTTGTTTCAGAGAGTGAAGAATGTAAGATTTAATATAAAAGTTTCGTGACATGCTTTAAATGTCAACGAAAAAATGCTTTCTGCTTATATTTTCATATTGTGGATTGTTCTTTCGGAAGGATCGTTTATTAACAACAACTTTTGTGAAGTAGGTATTTATAATAATAATTATAATAATATAACTCAAAAGAATTAACTTTCATTTTATTATTATTTTATTTATATTATTGTTATATTTATTTATTTTTTGTCATATTCGAGTTATTTTGAATTATTTATTAGTTCAATTTAGTTGAATACAAAATTCATTCATAGAAGTCTAAAATAATTAAGCTTTAAAGCAAACAATATAATAATTTGTATTTATTTGCAGTATAAATGCAGATTGAAGAATAGTAATCAGACAGTCGTCAATGTCCATAAAACTGGAAATTTATGCAGTTTGGATAATGTTCCAAATAAAGTTACAATGACAGTTATGGAAACAGCTGAAGGCGTTTCAACTGAAGGTAAATGTGATTATTGTAGGGGAGAGTGGGGCAAAGGTGCTATGCGGGGCAAAGACGTTTTTTAAAATATCTCCTTTATTTTCTGTCTATTCCAATTGGTATTAAAAATTAAGTTGCAATGCAATCAGACCAATTGATTAAAAAAAGAAAAACCTAAAAATATCAAATATTTTAAGAAATATAACAAAAAAGTTGTTTTGGAAAAATAAAATTATAATTTTACTGAAGAAACTTTTATTTTTTAAAACATAAGTTTAAGTATTTAATTTTTAAAAACGTAACATGTAAATAAATTAAATATTTCTCTACACAACTGGCGTGGTGTTATAGTTAAATTTTGTATCCAAATATTTTAAATTTAAAGTAAAAAAAAAGTTTGTTATGTGGGGCAAAGGCAATATTGAACATAATTTGGTTAAAAACAATTGAATATTCGAATTTTCTATGTATTAATTCACAATATAAGGTTAAAATCACTAAAAGTTTTTATTTTTTATTTAAATAGTTTAATTATTTTAATAATATGTTGTTAACCTTATGTTTCGTAAATATTATACTAATAAATATCACTTGTTAATTTTTTTAAGGCTTATAAATGCTTTCTTTTAGAAATATAAGCGAAAACGTCGCTGCCCCAGCGTGTGGGGCAAAGGCATTTTTTGCATTGTTTTTAAATTTCATTAAATAATGTATTTATAATTATAATATACTAAATAACGACTATTAAAATTTCTTGTTGATTAATTTTAGAATAATGAAAAACAAAGACCGCATAAATTAATTGCTTAATTTAAAAAATATACATCGATAAATGTAAACCTAGCGCCTTTGCCCCACTCTCCCCTACATACAAAATTTATAATCAAAAAAAGTTTTTCTCTTATAGTATTTATAAGTAAATTAATAATTATATTTTTCCTGTAGGTATTGTAAGAGTTAACTTTAGTCCTCCCAAAGAAGAATGTCGTTATAAAATTGCACTTGTAGTAAATCCTCTTATTAAAAGTTCTGAGGAATGTGAAAAAGTTATATTTCACGCGAAAGGAATTGATGTACAAGAAGTTCACACTGCCGAAAAATCTTATTGCATTTTAAATAATTATTTAAACAAAAGTCAAGAATCACAAACTCCTTATTGTCAGGTAAGACAATTTTTCTTTTACACTTCATTACGCGGTGAAATTCACAATGTTTATAATCGCCGATTTAGAAGAAAAATTATTTTACCTTCAAATTTTCTGTCTGAAAAAATTGTTTAGAATATTTTTTTATCAATAACTTAAAAATTTGTTTTTATAAAATTGTAAAAAAATTTGTTTGCGATCGTTGATCGCATTAACGTTGTGAACTTAATGTTTCATCATACGATATTAAAATTAAATTATTTCTCCATAACAGGATCAGAAACTAACAATGTGGTACGAAAACATTTTCACAGGATGTTACGCTCTAAGATTTCGAATCAGTGAAAATGAATTTGTCTTTAGAGGTCAATTATTTATAAAAACAGATCATTTACACTCTTCGATTAATGCACCGGACTTTCATTGCAAATACACTTCTGTTCCAAATGATTCCGATCCCAGGTCTGTATATTTTTTTCCTTTAAATTCTGGTTTAGGGAAAGTATGACAATTTTTATAATTAACAAATGCTAAATTCGATATAGAGTCACAAAAAATGATAATTCTTTACTCGTTCTTCTTGGGTTAAGTGCTAATTCATCTCTATATTGTAAGATTAATTATTAGAATATAATTGAAAAATAATCATCTCATGCTTCCCAGCTTGAAATTCCTGCTGCTACTATATGTGTTTTTAGGATCCACGTGCTTGGTTTATTAACCCCCCGCTTTTATCATGACATCACGATAGGTATATGGTTCTTGATAAGATTAATTAAATACTAAAAGAAATCGAAAATCGAGACAACATGCGCAATTATAATTTGCAGTTTTGAAAAGCTGACGTTTTCCACTAGTACTTCGAATGATATTCGCTTTGCGGGATTACAGCAGCAAATTGCCGTCTTGTCCTCTTTAGAGCGAGACAAGGAAAATTCTTGTGTGAAATTTAATAAGCGTACTATTTTTTCACATACAATATACACGGTAAATTTTTTCCTTTCATTTTTCACTTTTAGTCAATAAGACGTCGAATTAAATTCTTCAATTTAAAATTTCTCCTTTATTTTTTTTTAGGACAGGATAAATGCAACTTCGAATAATTGCACTTTAACGGTAATTTAAAAACTTTCAAAATTAATAATTCTTGTTATCTAACAATTAACTAAGAAACTTTTTGAAATAGATTGCTGAAAAGGGTTCTGGACAAAATGTCGAGTGCAATTTTGAATTTCAAAGTTCAAAGAATACAAGATTCTGTTTTGTGATTCATTTTCTTGATGACAGATGTAAAAAGGCAACAAGATGGAATCCGCCTCTAAAGGGTTATCTTCCTTGCACATGGGTTCAAAGTAATTTCTTTAAATTCTTTCATGTGAATGAAAATGAATTATTAATGAAATTAACTAAAATAGAAAAAATTAATTTCTCAAATAAAAATGTTGTTTTAGCTTGTACGAAAATAGAAACAGATCCTTTGCTCGTTATTCGCGGTGGAAGTCTGCAGGATCAAGAGCAAATTGCTTCCACCCAACTATTATGTCTTCCATTCATAATTATTGCGTTCATAATATTTTTGACGATAATTGGAAGCATTTATTGCATACACAGATTGCGTTCGAAGAATTCAAAGTGCAATTCAAGCACTTGTTCCATAGATTTAAAGGAAGAAGACGACTCCAAGTATTTTGAAACTGATGAGTTTCGATACGAAGACGATGCGAAGAAGGAAAAAAGAAATGATAGAGATATAATTCTTTTGTACGTTAAAGGACCTAAATCGTTCATGAAGATGATGTCCGATTTTCGAAATATTCTAGAACGATGCCTGAAGTGTCATGTAATTAAAAATACGATTAATTAACCATTTTTTTTATAATTCTCGTTATTCCATAAATTTTTTTTCGCAGGTTTACGATTGGTTTGCGCCAGAAGAATGGGACAATGTTGCCACTGTTGGTGGCTATGAGTGGATTGGAAAACTTCTGAAAAAGGATTGTCGTGTTGTTTGGATAGACACATCGAAGGCAAGAGCATTATTTGCTTCACAATACAATTTAATTGACACAAATGTTTCACGAAATAAAGATGTCGAGGAGTTTAGCGATTTTCGTGATTGTGTCTTTCCAGCGATAGTAGATTTAGCCAAACGTAGTTTGCAGCATATTTTGTTGCAATATTCGAGGCATTTTGTCGTCAGGTAAATGTCAATTGTGACTAGTTATTAATAATTATTTTATTTTTTAAAGTGAAAAATTCGATAAAATTATTACTAATTCTTGTAATTCGATCGTAGGATCGAAGGACTTGATACTCTTGATGAAGGGAGTGATCCTTTTTCCGATCTTTCACCTCATGCTCGATATATTATACCCCATCATCTGCGAGAACTTTGTTCTCATTTGTAAGTTTCAACATAAATTATCATTTCCTTAATATTTTAATTAATACATTTTAACTAAAATTAATTTATTTCATAAATAAAAAAAAATCTTATATTAATAATCGTTGTATTCCGGTAATCTGTTCGCAGTTTAAAGTTAGTTGTTGTTTGCTTTCTTGCTTCCTAACATTTTTAAAAATTTTTCTTTTTAAATATTTTCAATTTTAAAATGAATTTGAAAATCATTGAATTCTTGATAAAAGAATTTTATCAAAAAATTTGAGAATAATTGAATTTCTTCGAGGAATTTTCTTATTTATGAAAATAATTAAATTCTTGACGAGAATTTTATTAAAATTTTTGAAAATCTTAATTTAATTTAATTTAAATTTTTACAGTAATTGAATTTTATGAACAATTTCTTTCAAGTTTTTAAAATAATCATGCTTCTTAATAATTGAAATTAAACAATTAAAGTATTATATTGAATGTTATTAAAATGTTTAGAAACTAATTAACATCTTTTTAGAATTTTATTACAATTTTCTAAAATAATTTTAATAACAATTTTAAAAACTTGAATTGTTTCGAAGGATTTATTAAAATTTTAGAAAATAATTGAATTCGTATGAAAATTTTTATAACGAATTAAGAAAGAAATTGAAATCTTTCGTGAAATTTTATTGAAAATAATTGAATTTTTGTAAAGATTTTACTATATTTAAAAATAATTGAATTGTTTCGAAGGATTTAAAAAATTTTAGAAAATAATTGAATTCTTTTGAAAAATTTCATAACGAATTACGAAAAAAATTGAATTCTTTCGCGAAATTTTATTAAAAAATTGAATTTTGGCAAAAAATTTTACTATTTATAAAAATAATTGAATTCTTGCGAAGAATTATATTTAAATTTTTGAAAATATAAACAATAATAATGAATTTTGTACTTAATAAGTGAATTTTTTTAATTTTGACTATGAAATTATAAATTATGAAATTTCTGATAAAAATTAAAAATTGAAAATTTTTTAGATCAGTGCCGATGTCAGTACCGGAAAAGCATGTACAGTTAGAGGAGAGACGACTGCGGCAGCATTTAGTTTCGGATGATGAACTCGAATCTAATCTGAGTTTGTATAAAGTTTATTAATTTCCCTCTTTTATTGTTAAATTCTTCCGAAATGATAGAATAGTTTTTCAAGTTAATCTCAACAACTCAGGTTGTACAGAACTGATTTAAATTTCTGACAGGTGTTCAAATTTCTAAATAATCTGATCACTATATAATTTGACACATTTTAAAGTTTACACACTTAAGTCTGGTAGAAAAAAGAGAATATATAGTTTTTTAAGTTGTAAATAATAGTTATACTTGTACAATTTGTCAATAAATAGAATACATTTTTTAAATTAAATATTTCGTTTTCAGAGGATTTTTTAGTCAATTTTTCTAAAAATTGCAAATTACAACTTCTTTTTCGTTTTCATTACTATCTTTTGCTTCACGTATTTTTTTCTTACTTTGCTTCAATCTTTGACTTAGATTTAATATTTCTGTAAAAATAAATGGTGAACAAATTTTTTTTAATGAGAAATGGAAAATTAAATTAAAATTATTGTTTAAATTTAAATTAATTTTTTGGCTCGGTTGACTAATACCTGAATGATCTAAATATTTGAAGGTGTGATAATCTTTATGACTGAAGGTTTGAAATTTTTCTAATTTCTGATTGATTGAGTAAATACCGTACTTATGACGAGTAATCGAATTACTCTTATGATGACATATTAGTCTGCGAAGAAAATTAAAATTGCTTCATTTTAATTAATCATCTTTAACTAAATTTCAAATTAGTTTCTAATAATTAAATTTATTTCTGTTAATAGGAATACTTTTGAAAATCTACTCGCCTGTAGAAATGACCTGCTCTCTGCAATAGGCTCTCAATTTCTTCGAGCCACTTCTGTTGAGGAGCAATTATAGAACCTGGTCTGCAAATTCTCACCCAAGCAATAGCTTCTCTGGCATTTAATCGATAGTGCTTAATTATATAAGCCGCTATCAATGTTCCTGTTCTTCCCAGACCAGCCTAAAAAATAATTTACAATTTTAGTTTTTGAAAATTGTTTCCCTCGGCAAATTTGTATTTCATTACTTTGCAGTGAACTGCAATAGCTCCCTTGTTATTTTCGCAAATTTCAAGAAATTCTTCTAGTATTCGACGAGTTGGCGCAGTACCATCTGGCATATATAGATTGTAGTGTTTTATTCCTATTTTCTTGAATCTAAAAGGGAAATATCAACAGTAAACAATAATTAATAGCAAAATAGTAAAAGAACAGCTTTCAATTAAAATTGTAATATGTAATAGAAAAATTCTACCTTGACGCATCATAGCATTTTCTATTCAATCGAATAATTGCTTCCACACCATTTCTAACAAAGTAATTAAAATATTTTTCCGGTGGATGATAATTTGTGTCCTTCTTCGTACTTGGACCGACAAATCCAATAAATTTCCGAGGTATTATCCAATTTAAATCACCATTTCTCATTTGGGAATATTTTTCATATTCCAATAAATTAAAATCTTGGAAATTGAAAAATCCACATTTCAGTGCCTTTTTCATTCCATTTAAACAATCTTCAATTGGACAATCAATAGAAATTAGTGGACAATTAAAAACTTTTCTTTATTTACAAAATTTCTTTAGGACGTATTTATATATAAATTTTTACCAAGTAGTGTGAGTGTGAGATTTTCAGTATGAGAAGCATCTGGAAATGGTTTTAAAATCACATTATTTGAAACTAAAATTTTATCAATTTCACTAGGTGTTTTTTCCAGAAATATCACAGCGAATGAAGAAATCAGAAAAGCAGCATTTGCCATCTTATTTCCATCTTCACTTGTGTAGTAAACAATTTGCTTGCACCAGTTATCGGGATTTTTCAATTTTCTACGTAAAATGTTGCAAAACCTGTTTGGAAATAATTTAGGGGCCTTATCAATCATAATATAACTAAATGGAAATTTATTATAAGTTTTAATTTCCAATGAATTAATTCTCAATTTCAAGTTGATATTTTTAAATATACTTTTAAATAAATCTTTAAAGATATTCTTAAATAAATTTTTAAATATATTCTTAAATAAATCTTTAAATATATTTTTAAATATATTTATTCACCTATAGACACACGCAAGATTCAAAGGTCCAAAATCATTATTAATTGGACTATAAACAAATTCGTCATCCGTATTGAAAAACAAAATATTTTCCGCACATCGTGCAACTTTATGACCTGGATTCAATGTGGCAAAATATAATTTATCTTCTATAAATTCAACGACATGATTAATGTCAGGATGATTGTGAACCGTACATACACCTATAGATGATTTAGTTAAAGCAAAAAAAAGTTATTGATGAGAAGAGAGAATAATTTATTACAGTAAAAAGAAACAAAACTCTGGAATTAAATATTTTATTTAATTAATTCACTTCTAAATAAATTATTATTTCGATTGTCGATTACTTGCAAAAGTAGGATTCTCATGTAGGCAGCAGGTTTTTATGAATTTTTGCATTATTGATAATTTAAAATGTTTTCTGTTGAATGTTGCTGCGTAAAATTATTAGAGTACTGACATCTTCCTAGCATATTTCATTAATATTTTTTTTTACTATTTTAAAAATTGGAAAGAGTAATTTTACTGAAGTAAAAAATTTTTTTTATTTACGTAGAATGGAATTTGGATATTTAATTGATTTTTATGTTGCATAACTATTTTTAAATCGTCCACAGTTTAAATTTCGAAATACAAGTTCAATTTTCACTTGAGAAAAATACTGTTGACAATTTTACTTTTAATTTGGTTATAATTTGCCATTTCTATTTGTTTCTTAGAACTTAAATCGATATTCATATTTTTATATTTTTATATTGTTTATATAACACTTCAATTGTTTAATTTATGATACTATAAATTAAAACAAAAGTCTTTCTTAATCATTGTATTTTTTAAAAATTTCATATCATTTTTGTTCTAATTAGTTCAAATTTGACTAATTTATGATTTAGAGAATATTTTTTCTGATACTATTTTTACAAGAAATGTTCAAAATTATGATACTTTCTATTATTTTAAATAATTTAATTAATTCAAAAAAATTTTATTAACATTTTTGGAAATAATGGACTATTTATAATAATTTTAATTGAAAATTGTGAAAGTAATTGAATTTTACAAAGAATTTCTTTATTTTTTCGTAATAATCGTTTTTGTTAACAATTGTAGTTAAAAAGGCCGCAGCAGTATAAGCATGTAAAAATGGCCCCCTCTTGGATTGGGTCCATATTTAGGGAATAATTTTGACCTATTATGAGACTTATTTTCACCAAGTTTCAACTCGACAAAAAATTTTGTTTTTGAGTTATACAATTTTTTTGAAAAATTCAAAAAAATTCAAAAATTTTTTTTCCCTCCGAAATGGTTGAACCGATTTTCATGAAAAAATTTTTTTTGTACAATACAATATGAAAAGTTAATAAAAAAAAATTTTTCGACCAAATTCTAACAAAGAAAGTCAGTAAAAAGTCAGTAAAAAAATTTTTTAAAATTTTTTTTTAAAAAACATTTTTTTTTTATTGAAATTTTTTTTGCACAACCGCCATTTTTTTCTATAAAATAATAGTCATTTCAAGAGTAACATATATTTTTTGCAAGATGATTGAAAGGGTACTTCATACTTTAAAAAATAAAAAACCGATTTTTGGCCCCTAAATAGTACAGTTTTCTATATAAACGAGGGGCCAACATTTTTTAAAGTTACATTAAAAATTAATTAAATTAAATTTCTAAAAAAGTTAATAATACATGCCTGTTTATTGTAAATATTGATTTTTTAGTCAACTTTTCAAAAAAATTTACAAAAAAAAAAATTATTTTTGAAGTTTTTTCAACTTTGGCATATTTTTTAATAATTGTAGAAAAAATTTGAAATTTACATAGGTTTAAGTTTTATCTTTAACTTAAGACCATAAGAGTTTGAAAATCTTAATCGCGACGCCTCCCGTTCATATAATGCTTATTGAAAAACAAATGCAAGATCGTGCAAGATCATTCTTATTCAGTTTTTAGTGCAAGACAATTCTTATTCGATTTTCCGTGCAATAAAATGCTTATTCAAAATTGTGTGCAAAACAATTGCCACTGACAGAACAATAAATGTAACCCTAAATCATCTTTTTAATATTAAATTGCAATTAAATATCTGAGAATTTCAGTGCGTATCTATTGTTATTAGAAAATTTAATACTTGATTATCTCTTACGTATTAAGAAATATTGTTTAAGCAATTGTAATTAAAAATTATATTCAATTGAAAATTTTATAAAACTCATAGTGGAAGCTAATTTCAGATTGTACTTTTTAGCATAGAATTTTGAATAAGCATTTTATTGCACGGAAAATCGAATAAGATTAATTAAGATAATTGTCTTGCACTAAAAACTGAATAAGAATGATCTTGCATTTGTTTTTCAATAAGCATTATATGAACGGGAGGCGTCGATCGGTTCGTGAGATCCCAATATATATAGAAAATATCTACTGCTTTGATTCAAAAGTAATATTTGTTTGAATAATTGTGTTTAATTCAAATATATTTTCTGTTTTGGTTTAAACAAAGAATATGTTTCAAAATTTTATGTTTGATCCAAACTTAAATGTTGATTAGAAATATTTTAAAATCAACCTTAAATTTTGTTTGAATTGAATATATTACTTCTATAAATGAACCAAAAAATATGTTTGAATTAAACTGAAATTTGTTTGACTGTATAGCAAAGATATTTTAAGTATGATTTAAACAAAATTTTTTTGAATCAAATAAATCGTTTTCTCAGTGATTGACATGTTTTTGGGCCGTGCGCGTGCAGCCGTACCGGTAATTCCCGACGGTAGTTTACGTCCATTTACTTTTTTAATAAACCTTGTACATACTAAAAAATCAATATTTACAATAAACAGGCATATATTATTAACTTTTTTAGAAATTTAATTTAATTAATTTTTAATGTAATTTTAAAAAATGTTGACCCCTCGTTTATATAGAAAACTGTACTATTTAGGGGCCAAAAATCGGTTTTTTATTTTTTAAAGTATGAAGTACCCTTTCAATCATCTTGCAAAAAATATATGTTACTCTTGAAATGACTATTTTTATAGAAAAAAATGGCGGTTGTGCAAAAAAAATTTCAATAAAAAAAAAATGTTTTTTAAAAAAAAATTAAAAAAAAATTTTTTTTTACTGACTTTTTACTGACTTTCTTTGTTAGAATTTGGTCGAAAAATTTTTTTTTATTAACTTTTCATATTGTATTGTACAAAAAAATTTTTTCATGAAAATCGGTTCAACCATTTCGGAGGGAAAAAAAATTGTATAACTCAAAAACAAAATTTTTTTTCGAGTTGAAACTTGGTGAAAATAAGTCTCATAAAAGGTCAAAATTATTCCCTAAATATGGACCCAATCCAAGAGGGGGCCATTTTTACATGCTTATACTGCTACGGCCTTTACTTATATTATATTAAAATATTTTAGGAAATAATTAAATTCGTCGCAAATTTTAATTATAATTTTTTTTTAAAATTGAATTTATTACAAAATTTTTATTAAAATGTTAAAAATATAATTGAAATCTTTAAAAAGAATTATTTAAGTTACATTGAAAATAATTGAATTATATGAAAAATTTTATTAAATTTTTACAAAATAATTGCAATCTTTCAAGAAATTTTAATTTATTAAAAATAATTGAATTTCAGCTACAGAATTTTATTATTTATGAAAATAATTGAATTATTGCAAAGAATTTTATTATATTTATGACAATAATTTAATTTACAAATTGAATTGTTTCGAAGAATCGATTAAAATTTTTGAAAATATTTGAATAGTTTTGAAGAATTTCTTTAATTTTTTTAAGTTAATAGTGTTTTTAAATATTTCTAATTGAAAATTTTGAAAATATGTAATTGAATTTTAAAAGAAATTTCTTTCAAGCTGTTAAAATAAATGATTTTGTTAACAATTATAGTAAAAATTTGTTCGTTCAATTTTATTAAAATTTTTTAAGAAATAGTTGAATTTTTCGTAAAATTTAATTACTTACAATTTTTTGAAATAGTTGAATTTATGCAAGAAACTTTTTAAAAATAATGAAAATAATTGAATTCTTTCGAAGAATTTTATTAAATATTATATAGTGGGATTCCATGGGAGATTTTAGTATTTTTGGAGTAAGTAAACTAATTACAATGAAACTTAGGAATTTTAATCTACACATAAAAAGAAATATTTCCACTAAATATTACGTCAAAATATTCAATAGTTTTTGAGATGTCAAAATTTTGGAAAAATTTTGAAATCGTTACATCTTCTTTCCATCTTAACCAAATCACTTCATTCTTTTTGGAGAAAATTCAGCATAAAAAAACGAAAAAAAAATAATTGACTAACTTTTGAACACAAGCACGAAATTGAATGAGGCAAACACTAAAAAAATCTACGCTGCGGCTTCTATATATTGTATTAAAAATAATTGAATTCCTGATAAGAAATTATATATTTGTGAAAATAATCGAATTATTGCGAAGAATTTTATTATATTTATGAACTATTTAATCTAATTAAAATTTTTAAAAATAATAATTCTTTTTTTCGAAGCATTTGATAAAAACTTTTTTAAATAAATTAAATCTTTTGGGAAGTTTTATTAAAATTGTAAAATTGTAAAATAAAATATAAAAATAATTAATAAATAAAGAATTAAATAATTATAATAATTTAAAAAATTCGAGAAAAGGTTAAAAGTTGAATAAAATATGCTCTCTTAATTTTAAGTTGCAGTGTATTTTAATAATTCATCATGGGTACAACTCAAGATCAATTTGTAAGTGTTACAATGTTTATTAATTTATAATAAGACACACGGTTTACTATTGTCTAAAGCCAGATTCTCAACACTTTTTTTTTTTTTTTAATACTCAGTATTATTTTATAATTTATAATCACAAGTTAACAAGAAATGAATTAGCAAATGTCAAATTTTCCATAAACATAGAAAGAAAAATATATAGAAAGAAAAGAGCGGAGGATAAGGGCATTTACGCAATAGTGTATTATGGTCATGTGTAATATACGCATGAATTATTATATTTATATATATATAATATATTATATATATCAAATCGAGGGATTGCATTTAAGGAAGTTTTCAAGTCACTTCAACTATTTACATTTACAGATTAATCGATTTCACAGATCATTCTTAGCACTCAATAGCATTTGATTTATTGCGATCTTTAATATCATATCCTTGGAAAACTAGGTGAGATAATTTAAAACGCACATTTATGCTATCTAAATACAACTAGATCTTTAGATAATAAAATATAAATCGATTAAATGCAATAAACTCTGCTTTTCTATTTCCTGTCGTTAAATTACATAAGTTATATTGCTCTACTACACATTAAAAGTCAAGAGAAAACTAGATTTTCAAACGCATTTTTCAATATTTCTGTTCTAATGTATTTCTTTTTTTCTTCCTACATTATTAAATTTACTATTTGAAAATGACAAAATTTAGAAATACATTATTGCACAGGTTTTTCTTTTCAACTTTTTTTTCCCCCAATTGCAGATAAATATTATTATCTTCACTGTCCCAAAAAGTGTTAACAATAAAATTCAAGATTATCATACCTAGTTAAATTTTTTAAATAAACTATAATTTTTCTTTAACTCAATGAATTAGTTATGAAATTAATTTTGAATTAATTGTAAAATTAATTATGATATTAATTATGAAAAATTCCAAATAAATAATGAACAGTAATAATTAAGAGACCTTGTTGCAATGAATATTTAATTTTCTTTTTAAGAAAATTTTATAAACAGATGAACATTAATAATTTTTTTTTAAAAGAAATATTGACTTTTAAAATTATTTCTATGGCTTAATTGTAGCAGTGCGTTCTCTATGACTGACTTCTCGCTTTTAATAAGAATAAATTACAATAGTTCTAATCACCTTTGTTAGGAACGCACCTTTAATTGCAGTCGTTGCTTTCATGAAGAGACACGAAGACTATTAATTTATACAATAATAAATAGAACCGAAATATAATATTTATATTTATATATGGCTATCCTTAATTTGTCAATAAAAAGTTTCTTTGGATTCAAATATAACATTCCTCGAAACAATTGTTTGTTTTCTGGTTTGCTTTTTCTATCATTTCTCTCTCTCTCTCTCTTTTTTAGTTACTTTATAATAATGAATTAAATATATCATGTTATTAATTAAATAATTAACATTCTCAGACGAGACTATCTTAACAAACAGCTTTTATTTATCTTCTTAACAACTAATGTCTTTTCGGACGACGTTAGGAATCTTCCTATGAAAGAGAGATTTTTTTTCTTATTTAATTTTCGTTAAAGTTCCATAATTCCATTTTTATACTCTCGTCTACACAATTCGTTGTTTTATGAAACTTTGGCGAAAAGTGTAACGCAACTTATAATTTACTTATTCTTAAATCTAAATAGTCTATTTACAATGATTTTAACGAACTTAATTAATTAACTTAATTATAATGTATAATCTTTTAAATCGTGCATTAAACAATAATAAAAGTCTGTTTTGTTTAGCTAATTTTTTTCAAAAATAATTTCATGCCCTTTGCAATGGTAATTATCGCAAAAGGCATGTAATTAAAAATACTTTCAGAACATTAAATAATGAAATTTAATTTATTTTGAGAAATTGATATTATCAATATCTTTGTGAAATATGAAAATCTGAAATATTGCCTTAAAATACAAAGTATTTTTTCTGAATATAAAATACAAAGTATTTTTAAACCAACATTAATTGGAAATTGCTTTCACGTATTCACAAAAAAGTGCTTATTTACACACACACACTAAATTCTACAATTATGAATGATTATTTTCCACTACGTTTTTAATAAGAGAACTTACAGACTTTTTTTGTCCACAGTTATAAACCGTGAATTTTCAATTTAAAGTTTTAAACACTATCTCTAAGGCACGAGTGTGTACACAATGCAATAGAAATAATAGAGACAATGATAGTTTCAATTCTAAAGAGATGATGATAAAATATAAATCTTGTAAAATTAAATATAATAATATATTACATGTAAAGAAACTGTAAACCTGAAAAGCTAATTTTTATCCTGACAATTGTCAATAAAATTTACAATAAATTCTAATCCTGCGTTTATGTTAAAGGGGCAAAAAAAAAAAAATTTACTCACTATTGCCCTTGACTCCCAATAGTTTAGCAGCATCGTCAGGAGTAGCAAGGAGCATTTTATCGACAATACCGGGATCTTTGATTCCCAGTAAATTGGAGATCAGATCGTTACCAGTTTCCGTTGCGTCGTGATTGCTCTGGGCATTTGACAATTTACTGGTGAGAGTCGCAAGTTTCTCGTAGGGATTGAACCTCGTTAGACTGCTGGGAGCAGCGTCTCCGGTAGCAATGGTGGCCACAGTTGGTAGGGACATTCTTTCGGCAATCATTGAATTGCCAGTGGTTACGGCAATTGAAGCTGGTGATTGCTGTTGGCTTCTTGGGGTGATTGTTGGCGGTTGATTTGGAGATATTTCCTCATCGCCACTGCCAATGTACATTGTCGAGTCGACTGATTCGTGCTTCTTTCGATGACGAAGCATACTGTGCTTCAGGGTGAATCGCCTGTCGCAAATATCGCACCAGAATGGTTTCTCTCCAGTGTGAGTTCTCACGTGGCGTCGGAGATCCTCGGCCGACCAGAATCGTCGCATGCAGAAGGCGCAGACAACCTGAAGGAAAAAGCAAATATTAGTATAAATTATAAAATAATACAATCTTCGTAATCTAAAGTTACTGGTTTTTGTTTATTTTCTTGTTTTCTAATTTTATAAGTAATTTTTTTTTCTAAATGTTTTGAATTTAAACGCTAAACATTTTTAATGTATTGAATTGAAATCATTGAATTCTTATTAAGAACTTTATAAAAATTTTTTTATATCATTTTGAAAATAATTGACTTCTTTTGAAGAATTTTATTGAAATTTTTAAAAATAATTGATTTTTTTGCGAAGAATTTTATTAAAATTTTCGAAAATAATTGAAATGTTTTGAAGAATTTCTTCGAATTTTTTGAAAATCATTAAATTCTTCTCAGGATTTTATTAAAATAATTAAATTATTGTGAAGGATTTTAGAAATTTTATAAATAATTGAATTTTTTTGAAAGATTTCTTTGAATTTTTTGAAAATAATGGTAATTTTAATAATTTTAATTGAAAATATCAAAATTAAATTCGATTGTTTGAAAATAATTGTTTTTTAATAGTTGTAGTTTGATAATTGAATTTTTTAAAATTTTTTGGAAATAATTCAATTCTTCTCTGAAATTTATTAAAATAATTGAATTCTTGTTAAGAATATTTTTGAAATTTTTAAAGTAATTGAATTGTTTTTAAATTTTTTTAAAAATTTTTTGAAATTTTAAGTTTTTTATAATTTTAATTGAAAATATTAAAAGTAATTAAATTGTTTTAAAATAAACGTGTATTTATTTAATAATTGTAGTTTGATAATTCAATTTTTTTAAAACTTTCAGGAAATCTTTTAAAAAATGTTATCGAAATTGTACCTATTGAAAATAATTAAATTTTTGCTAAGACCGTTATTAAAATATTTGAAATAATTGAATTTTTTTGAGTAAATATATTTTAATTGTATATTAAAAATAATTGATTTTCTGAGAAGACTTATTATTTATAAAAAAAATTGAATTCTTTAAATAAAAATTTTCTTGAAAGTTTTAAAAATAATTTAATTCTTGCTAAGACTTTTATTAAAATATTTAAAATAATTGAATAGTTTTGAGGAAATCGATTGAAAGTTTATTGAAATTGTATTGAAAATAATTGAATTCAAGCGAAGAAATTTCTGAAAACTTTTAAAAAATAATTGAAGTTTTTCAAGAAATTTTATTAAAATTCTACTGAAAATATTTGAAATCCTGAGAAGAATTTTATTAAAATTTTAGGAAATAATAAAAAATAATTTAGTCAAAGTAGTTTTTTTTAGTTATTTGATTATTAATTACTTAAAAAATTAACTTATTTTTTTAATAAAAAAAGTGGATGCTTTGACTGAAATAAAACTGTCGAGGATAATACCTTTCTGTCTTTATAGTCCAGACTCCTGGGCCCATCACTCGAGTGTTGATTAGGCGGAGGTTGTTGCTCCTCAGTCGAAGTGATTCCCATCTGCAAAGCCCCCTTGGACACCAAAATCTCGTACTCCCTCTCATGATGCATTCGAATATGATCCAAACAGTCCTGCCGTTCAGCAAACCCATTGTCACAATTCGGAATATGACACTTGAACGGCGTGTCCGTGGGCCCTGGCGAAGAGGTGGGCGAAGTTCGACAAGACCTCGCCGTCTCATTGGTCGAGGAAGAAGTATTCTGATTAGCCTTATGAAGTTCCATCGGCGACGATGTCTCGACATTCTCCGAACTCGACGATCCACCATCGTCGCCGCTGTGATCGTTCTGCTTCTGACAATGATCCGAGTGTTGAGGATCGCTGGAAGACGTTTCAGATCGGGAATTCATTTTCCTCGAGTGCTTCGTGGAGCGGTGTTTCTTGAGATTGCCGAGGGTGGCGAATGTTGAGCTGGGACACTGGTTGCATTTGTAGGGTCGTTCGGGGACGTTTCTCGTGGAGAAACTGTTGTTGTTTGTGACTCGCGAATCGTGATTGTCGGGCGAGGAGGAGTTGCGGATGTTTCGGGCGTTGGAGCGTTGGAGAAGGCTCTTGTGCTTGCGGTTCAGGTGGCGATCGCAGTTTGATTTTGTGGTGAAGTCGAGCATGCAGTAGTCGCAGCGGTAGGGTTTCACTCCGGTGTGGGTGAGAATGTGGCGACGGAGGGAGGAGATCCAGGGGAACTCGCGGTGGCAGTATTTGCAGATGACGCGGTTCGGCGCCATGGAGTAGGCCGAGGCTTTCATTTTCTTCTTCTTTTTCTTCTTCTTCAATGAAGTCAAAGAGTTTTCGGATTTTTCGTCCGTACTCCCGGAGTGGTTGCCGGAGTGTTCGCTGTTGGAGTGCGCGACACCGTCTTCGTCGCTAAGATACTGGGACTTGAACTGCGGGTATTTTTGCGACGCGGTTTGGATTAGCTTTGGAACACTGGCGAGATCGACAGCTTCTTCTTCGGTTTTCCCCCTTTCTTCGGTCTCTTTTTCCGTTTCTTCTTCTTTGTCGTCTTCTTCTTTTTCTTCCTCTTTATCCCCATTGTCGATTTTCGCCTCTGGTACTTCCTCCTCCTTTCTTTCTTCCTTTTCTTCCTCTTTCCACTCTTTTTCGGAGTGTTCCAGATTTTTACGGAGCAGACTGATTGATTTGCTGTGCTCGCTGGCCTCTTCGTCGATGACCAGCTCCTCGTCGGAGTCTTGAGCCTCGTCGCCCTTGTTGCCCTTGAGTTGCTGAGCGAGAATCGCGTACTTGACTTGATCGGAAATTGGATGTCGGGCAAAGTCTTCTTCCTTTTGTACCGGAGGTTCGTAGGATGAATTTGAAGATTTGCTTCGGATGAAACTGGGAGAATTGGAGCCGACGTTTTGGAGGAGAGTTGGGGGTCTGGCTGGGGGTCGACCTCGGGTGGAGTGTCCGCCCCGGGGTCTTCGGTGCCAGAGTTCGTTGTGTTGCTGCTTGATGTGTCGCTCCATGTTGGTCTTGAGGGTGAACTTGGCGGAGCAGTATTCGCAGGTGAAGGGTCTTTCGGTTCGGTAGCGTCTCTGCTTTTGTTTGCGCATGAGGACTCCGTTCTTGATGACCATCTTCACCGAGTTCGACGAGGGGGATTCGCTGATTCGTTCCCTGGGGGAGACTACTCTACTGGAGACGTTTGGCGGGATCAGACTGGGATAGGGGATTTGCTCCTCCCTTGGTTGGGGGGTTCGGCCTGAGGGGGGATAGTTGTTGTTGAAGGCGGCACTTTCGCTCGGTTGCTCGACGAGGGAGCCGCCGCTGGTTTGGAGACCTCGGGCTAGTTCCTTCTGGAGGCGCTCCTTCATGGCGTAGCCTTGCTCGAAGATGGAGTTGAGAAAGTAGGGGGAGATGAGGCCGGTACCGGAGCTGAGGGCCAGGTTGTTGTAGATCATGTTGGCGTGGGCGTTGGCGTAGAGGGCTTCTAGGGACGTTGGGGGAGAGTTGACTTGACGCGCCTTGAGGAGGGCTTGGGTCAGGAGGAGAGGATTTGCGGAGTTGTAGAAGTCTTTCTGGTCCTCGACGTGGTCTTCGGATTTGCCGTTCACTTCCTTGTCTTTGGATTTTTTGCTGAGGTCGAGTACGTCCATGGAGAGATCCAAAGGTCCGTCGTCGCTGGAGGAATCACTCGATTTTTTCAGGTTCATCGGATTGGCTTGAATTCTTTGGTGTGTGTCCGGTTTGGTTTCACTGACTAGAGATACGCTGCCCTCCGATGACCTCGACTCAAGGTCTTCCTCCAGTCTGGGGTATTCAGACTTGACGATTGGATGCTGTGGGGAACTTCTGTAGGTCAACTCGAGGGGCTGGACAGACCGTGGTCTGGGGAACACTTCCGACTGTTCGTAGTGGTTCGCCTGCATGTTCATGTGGTTTATCTGACTTAGTTGGCTGATGTGGTTCAAGTGGTTCAGGGGATTTAGTTGAGATGCGGGATTAATACTCGGCTCGGGCTTCTTCTCGTCCTTGACCTTAATGTCCTGATGCATGTGCATGACGGTGTAGGAATTGTGGTAATTTTCTTCTTTGGGAAAGACGAGGGTTTTTCTCACTTCGTCTTTGACTGGTCTGGGGAGGCTCCTGTCGAGACCCTCGTTCGTCAGATCTTCAGTCGGGTGGTAAATGATTGTCTTCTGCACTTCGTTCTTGTCGTGGACCCCGTGGCGATTTCTCACGTGTCTCTCGCAGTTGGCCTTGGTGGTGAAGGCGTAGGTGCACTGGGCACACTCGAAGGGTCTGTCGCCGTTGTGCGTCTTCAGATGCCTTGTGAGAGTTGTTTTGTCAGTGCTGGTGTAATTGCAGATGTTGCAGGGATACGGCATTCCGGGAGGAACTCCCATGTGAGCTCTATTGTGACCCTTCAGGGCTCTCAGATTTGGGAACACTGCGTCGCAAAGTTTGCAGGGGAACTCGCCTTTTAGTTTCATTTTCCTGAATTCGGCGGCGAAGGCGTCTTGGGTCTCCTCCTCGTTACATTCGGAGGAAACAGTTCCCGATGAACCAGACGACCCGACGTTTTGATTAATTTTGTTGCTACAATTGTCCGGGGTGCTGGCGTCGGATCTGGAGAAGCTGTGAAGAATCGGACTCGACGTGATGCTGATGATGCTTTGAATGTCGGCGAGGTCCTTTCCGTCTTTCGCTTCTGTCATGGCCGCTTTGTTTTGAAGATTCAGTCCCGCGAAGAAGTCGTCCCTCCGCGACTGGGAGTCGTTTCCCTTCCAGTGAACGTTTGGAATTCCACAATCCATCTCGTGGGAGTCCAAAGCTGACTTGCAGGGAAAAGCTCTCAGGCACTTTGCACACTGGAACTTGGCCATTTCCCCCGAAGCTGGTCTGTGCAGAAATTCCTCGCATTTCGCTCTAGCGATCATGGGATATTTGGTTGAGGTGAAATCGACGAAGGTCAAGTCACCAAAACCCTCCACTGAATGTCTTAGGTTTCTGGTGGCATTCCTGTAGGAATTCTCGTTGATGTTGTTGACCGATCGATGAAGATTGAGAACCCTGTGACATTTGTAGGACAAATTGTCCGATTCACACTTGTCGATCTCCAAGTGATGATGCTCGAGATGTATTTCCAAAAGTGAACTGCTGGCGAAATCTTGCTTTCCGCAAATGGGACAAGTGTAGTTAATCTGACTCTCCGTTAAGTTGTTCTTGAATTTTTTCTGCGGCGACAAATCCTCAGTGTAGTCAAGGGACTTTCTCTTCAACAAATTAAGAGATTCATTTTCGTTAATGAGATCCGGGGAATTTCTTTTGGCAATTTCGTTATTATTGTATTCCTCGATTTTCTTTGTCGGCGATTCCGAGTCATTGCTGGCCTCGGAATCGGAACAACTGTGCGATGAGAGACGATTGTGAGCAATTTTCGAGTGTCTGTTCATGTTTCCGTTGCTGGTGAAAGCCATGTCGCAAGGATTACATTTGAAGGGTAGCTCATCAGAATGCACGAGGATGTGTCGCTCCAAGGAACTCGCGGATCTCAATACTTTGTAACATACTTTACAAGTGAATTCTTCCTCAATGGCACTGTCAATACTTTCCGGAGAATTGTGATTTTCAATATGATGATTCGATAAATCCCGATAATTTGAAAGAATTGATGAACTCGCCTTCTTCGATTGACCAATCTGCGAAAAAAATTTAAAAAGTTAAAAGATTGATTATGGAAAAATTAAACAAAAGAAAGAAACATGAGGTTAAGAACAATATTAAATAAATTTCTCGATTATCTCTTAATTGTATCAATAAAATCGAAAGAATGAGAGGGAGAGAAAAAATGAAAAACGTGTTCTGTGAGAAAATAAGATAAAGTTAATATCAGAAGAGTGTTATCTCAAAAAATCCCCCAGCACTTGAATCTTGTTTATTTTTCTTAATGTTATCGTTAATTTTCAAGGTGAAACTACATAATAGTTTTTAATACTCACCAATAATTCTGGTACAATTGTGGTTTGTGCGACACTGCAATTCGTCTGGTACTGTCCAATTTTTGGTTTCACTGTAATCAGACAAAGAGAGAAAAATTAGAGATCGACATTATTTTTTTAATTTTAAGAGGAAAATAATTCTGGACCACAAACTTGTGCGGTCTGAACTCTGAAGTCTGCTGGTTTAGCGGATGCTTATGGTCACATTCGCCAAGTCAATGATTTTAGGAGAAAAACTGCGAAACAGTTTCCGCGTTATGAATAATTCAATATACACATACATGGATCTAATAAACACATGTTATTATTTAGCATTAAGATGCTTATACTCTATGTTAATTATAAAAATAATTTATTGTTAGTCCAATTATTACAGTGAGCTTTGTATAATTCTTTTTATATAACCTAAGATTACTATACGCTTCCTTAACACTTTTATATAGTTTTTACTTTCTCTCCTTGCGTTCATGTTAATTTCCAATTATTTTTGGAAAAACATCAATTTTTTATTTTTTTAAATAGCCTCGCTTTTATTCACTTCTACTTTCTGTATTTTATAATATTGTTAATTAACAATATAATTTATTGTATTATTTTTTATTTGATGCTGCAAGTTGATCTAGCTCTTTCGAAAATAAAAATTTCTTTCAAAAATATTTAGTAAATATTGTATAATTCAGTGCGCATCATTTTTAATTAAAAGTATATAATTTTAACTAAAAATCACACATTAATTTTTAATCATTCAGTGGAAATTAATCGACTTTAAAAACGAGTCCAACTTGCAGCATCAAACAAAAAATAAAAAGAATGTTGATTATTAATTATTTGTATAAAATACAGAGAATTGAGTATACAATTTTTAATCAAGAAGATAATTTTCGCTCCTTCTGCGTAATTTCAGATAAAATCAGAGACTCGTTGATTATTTTATTTTATTCTGAAGTGGATTCCGAAAGAGATGATGAGAGATATATATAATGAAAACCGTGATTTTTCTCTTATTAGGGAAACTATATCGAAAGTAACAGAATGCAACTATTCGTATATTGCCACATGTAAAAATCCAGAATCCGAGCAAAAGCGGCATTACGTGGAATTAGCAACCGTGAAATGATGCAATTGAATGTGAGTTGGACACGGAGGAACGAGAGCGGATTCATGCCGAGAAACATGAACGATTGATCAGTGACGATGATAAAATTCTGATATTTCAAACACTATAATTGTCTTTTGCTCAATACAGTTAATAATAATTGCAAATGCTGTACTAAAAATAGAAAAACAAATTTACAGACTTTAATTCTTTATAATCAAAAGCATCTCTATATCACTATATATTCGAATTGAGATATTGTTCTTAAAAAATAATTATAAAAAATTTTAATTTTATTATTTTTAATTATTATTAATTATAAATTTTACAAAATTTCAATTATTCAAAATTTTTTAATTATACACTCAAAAAGTTTCAATTGACAACGTTTTTTTTATAATTTTCAAATTACCGGAAATAAATATTTTTTTAAATATTCTTGAGTTGAGTTTAATGGCAGTTTTCAGTGTATAATTAAAATTATTAACAATTATTCATTATTTACATAATTTTTATTTAAAATTCAAGACTGGTTTTATATTTTACTTTTTATTTGTGAGTCGGTGCTTTATTGCAGAATTATTGTTTTTATTATTAGATTAATAAAAAAAGTTTAACTGAGCGCTACTGGCAAGTAGTATTAGTAGGTAAAGTCGATAACGTCAGTCACGCTGGGACATGTCTCACTCGACTGCGCCACTACTACTTGCGTCTGGCTACACACGTCTGCGGTGCGCTTTTATAAGCGTTCTCCACGCAACAAAAATTTAATTATCTCTATTAATAATTTAATCAAAATAATCCCAAATTTATTTTTACTAAAATAAAACAATGGTTCAAATTTTTTAATTTAGTAAAATTTAAATACAAAATAAACGAAAACTCAAAATAATATTGTAATCCCACAAAAACTTTATATACAAAATTAATTTAAAATACAGTTTTAATTGATGAAATTGATTTAATTGATGAATTGAATTCTTGATACTAAATTAAATAAGAAATTGATCCAAAAAGAATTTAGCTCAATTTTATATTTGATTCACATTTTTGGTATCAATTCGTTGCAATTTGATACTTTAAAGTTAATAGAAAACAGTTTAAAAATCATCACACACTTGTGAATAAGAAAAAAATATGAAAAGAATATCTAAAAATTGTTTGAGAATAGTAAACCGATGATTGATTGGATGACTTTTGATGATAAATGTGATAACAAAATTCCAGGTTAACTTTCTTTGTATGGATTCTGTTTTTTCATTTGAAATCTATAAAAATGTGTGATACTTTAAGTGGCCAGGGATTTCAAAATTTATGACGAGAGAATGACGAATTTTTCATTATATATTATATCGATCTGTCTGCATCAAATGACAGACACAACATGCATCTTAGTGCGGTATTATCACTTTCGGTATATATCTTCGATTGATGCTCAGATTAGTATTAATGACGTGCAATTTTTCGATATATGTGCGTTTTTTTTAAGAAAAAGAGAGTAAAGATTATAAATACGCGCAGTTTTAATTCAAAAAATGTTTTCATGCAAAAAATCGAGAAGAATTAATAATAAAAAATGTTAGATTTCAATTTCTTACATCAATATTATTATTTTTTATTTATAATTCATAATAATTTTAACTAATTATTAATTTTTATTAATTTATTAATAACTTAATTTATTTGTTATTTATCATTCATTTATTATTTACTTGCTCTCTAAATTTGAATTAGAAAAAAATGTTTACTAATTTATAGTGACTATGGTTTTTTATTGGTTTTTGAATTTAAATAATAAAAAAGGAATACCTATAATCAAGGTAAATGTAGTTCAAACATAACCTAAAATTCGTTTGCTGCTTAGGTGCTTATTTCTTGGAAGAGCAACACATATCCTTTTACTTATAGTTTTCAGAATTTCATAAATAAATAAAAATTAATTTAGCAATAAAGAAAGAAGCGAGAGAATATTATTTTTAAGATACTAAGCTTTATCTGTATTGCGAGAGTATAATAGTATAACAAATTTTATAAGATGCGAGAAGTAACTCTTCACTGTCATGAAATAGTGATTAAGTTTGCGGCATGTCGTCTAATGAAATCTTGTCATTTTTTTCAAATCTATTATTGGAAAAATATATTTCACCAATACTGAGAGACCTTTGGGTCAGCAGCAGACTTTCGATAGGCTGCTATACTGACCATTTTGGAGGAACGCTACAGGACTATACTTTTGGGTTGCTGCGGTAAAATCTTGGGCGCGTGACAGTCCAAAACTTGTTCAGCTGCAAACCAAAGGCGGCATCCCCACTACTTCGGTGAGCTGCTCACCAACATTTGGGACTGTCACGCGCCCAAAATTTTACCGCAGCGCACCAAAACCATATAGTGGAGCTGCTGTCACATACATTGTTTCGCTACAGTCCCAAAGGTCTCTCAGTGTAGATTCGAAAAAAATGACAAGATTTCATGATTGATAATTTGTTTTCATCTTAAAATAATAGAATATAATTAGTTTGACAGTTAACAATTTCACATAATACGCTTTTGTATGAAATTCTATATTTGTTATATACAAACGCCGAGAGAATGACAAATTTAGAGTTTAGACCGAATAGCAAAGGGTAGAAAATTTATTAAATATATTTTGATAATGGAACGAACGCGTGTCTTTTTAAGCCATTTCTATAGCCCACATGAATATACATTAAGTCTGGTGGTAAGTGATTTTATTCACGTTCGTAAATCATGCGTGCGCCTTATAGTGTGCAAACGGGTTTGCGTGAACCTGTAACACACTCTGGTATATATACAATGTGAATACTCGAACAAGTGGTTATAGATATACACCAGCTGACGCAAATCTCTCTTTATGACTAAATTTAAAAATTCATTTCTCTATAGTTTTGATTATATTTTTATTAGGTTTTTGAAAAATAGAAATAGCAAAAAAAAACAATCACGTTCTCTATACTCTGTTTATAACTTTCTATTTTCTTTAGTCCATATTAGCTGTCATTTAATCTATATACACTACTGACATTGATTATACTTTATCTTGTACAATAACTTTTTATTTTCCAATATGTACCTATGGAGTAGAATATTTATTATTTTTATAACTTCTGCAATGTGACGCGCGCCGAAGAAATTTACATTTACTAAGAAGCAAATCATTTTAAGATTAAGTTTGTATTTTTTACCTCTAATTTTTCTGTTCTATAAATTGTGACGTCATAAAGGGTAAAATTAAGGTAGAAGAGTATATTTAAGTTAGTAGAACTCTATGACGTCATAATATTGTTCAAATGCCCTTAAAACTGAAATTACTTATTTTTGTTAATTTTATTTCCAGTAGTTACGAATTAAATATTAATAGTTTATACTAAGAGTTGATTCCTCCGAATAAATGACAAATATAACCTACTAAAACCTTTCTTCGGAATACAATAATATTGTGACGCCCTCCGAAGAAAGGCATTTGATGATAATGATTGTTTATGATGATTTGAACCTTTATTATTAATATTAGTGTCTCTTTAAGAAACCAAGCAAAAATACTTTTCTCACATATATATATACAAATAGTGGCGTGGGCAAAAACAAAATTTCCTAAGATCACGATTCCCACTCTTATAGACAAAATTGCAGTGTTGATCATATAAGGTTGTCATTCGGTTTAGCAAGCAGAATAAGCAAGCTGAAAGCAAGCTGAAAGTTTCCTAAGTAGTGCTATAACCTTTCGTGTAAGATTGTCAAGAACCTTGAATGGCGAACTGTGCTTCCTTTCGTTGCAAGAGAAAAGCAATGGAACATTTGAGTATAAGGCGTATACATATAATGTATATAAAGGATCGTGTATAAGAAGCAGCATTCTTTTCTACGCAGATGTGCGCAATATCGTGAGATTTTCCGATGATGGTTTTGTATTTTAGCTCTCTGTATAGACATTGGCCATATAATGATGACAGCAGC